AGTCCATCATGTCATAGCAAAAATATGTAAACATGGAGGGATTTTCCAAAAACACAAAACATTCAAAAAGAATTCTACAACAGCCAGTCTACAGTTTTGTATGATAACGATGCTATTGATGTGCATATGTCTTGTGTCTCTGAAACGGAACATGAAGAACAACAAGTGAGCTTATCGGTTTTGGACTGTGACACTTATGCTGTTCTTTAATGTAGAGAGATGAGTTATACAACAATGGAAGAGTTTCACTCTACGGATGCTAGTGCAGCCAGAAACGACGCGGCTTGTCTGACACAACGGAATCATGATGACGATGATAATAATCTGGATGTCTCTGATGTGACAAATGAGTTGCCGACGATGACGAATGCTGATCAAACCTCCTCTGTATCAGGAGATGGAGAGATAAATATTGGTCCCATTTTATGCTATTTGGAGTCTTCGGGAGACGAGGAAATATCAAAATTGGAGATCCCACCCTTGCATATTATCTATGGGTCAAGAACTTCTTTTGATAAGTCAGCATCACTGACTTCATTGTATCAGCCGATCGGAGCAAGTGGTGGTGAATTGACGACTCATCCCCATGATATGGAATGAAGAACTCGGATAGGATATGACCAGCTCTACGACGTGTTGTACATGTTCATGTGGGTTAATTGGATAAGGTTTATACTACCGTTAGGTCATGCTACGATAGACAGGGGAATCAAGGGCCTGATGGGAAGTCACAGGTACCTAGTTAGCTTGATAGGTCATATCCATGTTGGAGGGCGGGTAGGCGTACCGCTGTAAGTCCTACTCGTTCTTCCGGTGTGGATTAGGGGATGAGAGTGAACGCAAACTTGAAGTGTCAGTAAGCGCTTGTTTTTTTGCATGGAGGGATTTTGCGGGCCGGTGTAGAATCATTTTTTGAATGTTTTGTGTTTTTGGAAAATCCCTCCATGTATATATATTTGTGTTATGATATGACTGACTCTTTCTGCTGACATTTTGGTATTTTATTTGATTCCATTTTGAGATTTTATCATTGTATATTGTTATTATTTCTATATTTTGTACTTATATTGAAGTTTTTGTGTTTGCTTCTGAACTGTACACATGTTGTTTAAATTTGATCTTTAATATGGCTACAGCCATATTTGGATTTGATACTGTTGCGGTTGGATCTAGCATCACTTATTCTTTTTGAACTCGGATACTCATCAGAGTAATTGGGACTTGGAAGGTGTATCAAAAGTCAGGTACTTGTTTGTATTTCCACTTTTTATAAAAATAGACCACTTTCTCCTAGAATTATTGTGTTCTGATATTGGACTAGGAGAGGGGTGCGTTCGACTTACACCTACTGGAAACAAATTGAACTGCTACGGTGGAAAATTCATCAACAACCCTTCTGGGATTACATCCAGTTCTAAGCCTGGAAGAAGTAGGAGGGTTAGGCATGCGGTTAGAGACCGCGTCCGGTGGAAATATATTTCGCTTAGGTACGTTACTCAACTAAAATAATTCAAAATATTTTAACTACCTGGCAGTTGTAGGTGTAGCAACTCACATATATTTTTCACGTTTATCATTGTCGAGCTCGTATGCGCATGTTTGCTTGGACATTACTTACCACACACGCATAGTTATTTGACGAGCCTTATCGATCAACTTTTCAAATAATTCGATGGCGATGTAGGCAATTCATATATGAATAAATTCCAATATTTGTTTCACGGGGCCGATGCTCCTTCAACAACCAGAACAACCAATAACACAGTCATCCACGACGTTGCAAAAATTAGGAGATAAGCCCCGTAGGCGCTTGGAATCTGCGAAACTCTGTGGACGCAGGTTAGACAAAATATACTAGCTTCAGGTGTGCCTGTGTTGTACTCTGGCTATGAAGAAGAAAACACCTCACGTACAATAGGAGGTGCATTGATGCCATACAGACAATCGTAAATGGACTTGTAGGACAGGAAACTAGAGGACTCAGGATCATCAAAGCCTCCTTCGAAACACGAATCAAACGACCAAAAAGGATGACACTTTATAAAGCAAAGACAAGAGATCTTAGCAAGTAAGGAAACTATAGAAGAACCACTGTATTGTCAGTACTATGGAAAGTCTCCGACGGAGTGTTGTTAAGCAGAATGAAGGACTATGGAGACTCCAGACATTGAGATCAAGAAGCTGGATTCCGTAAATTTCGATCATTGTGGAACAATCATTCGAATGGTATTCACCAGTCTTTAGTGGTGACTGAGTCGAGATTGACTATGATCACTCATTACTGTCCCGTCACATATTAAAGAAATAAACCCATGGTTCAACATTTATTTGTAGGAGAACGTAGGAATTACATAGAGCAGCAAGTTATGAAAAGTGGCAGCAACGCGTAAAAGAGCGTTGCACGCAAATAAGTGCTTTTGTTACAGTTGAACAAAACGAGTGCAAAAGTAAATGTTTGTTTTTCACCAATCGAGTTTTCTTCGTAGAAGTGTTCCACTGCAAGTTTACATAGATTACGTCGACCTCAAGAAACCGTCTGACAAATTCAACAGAAAAACAATGTTGGGTCTTCTTCGACACTACGGAATGCCTGAGAATATAGTAAACATCATGCAAATTTCGTACGATTCATGGAGGACAGCTGCCTAACTCGTTCTAGTTTGAGACCGGTGTCAACCAAGGTTGCATACTCTCAAACATTCTTTCTCTCCTGGTGATCGTTAACATCTTGAAGGCAGCACAAGATGCAGTGGATAGCTCGGATGCCGCTGGACTATCTAGTCTTTAGAGATAATCTTGCTCTCCGATCGCACATACAACAATAAATGTAGAAGAAGACTATCATTGTAGTAGTAGCCTCTCGGCCAGTACGTTTAAATATACACAAAGGAAAAAGGAAGTTTCTCCGGTACTACACAACATGTGCCAACCAAATCACACTACAAATGTCAAGTCGCTGTATGTGTATAGAGTGGAAACTATCATCCGGAAGATTATTTATTAACATTTGTATATGCAAGATATTCGGGATCCGTTGTCCAGACACCATCAACAACAGCTAACTGTGGAGAGAACAAAACCAGCGATTGAGGAAGAAATCAGGAAGAAGCACTGGAGGAGGATAGGAGAAACACGAAGGAAAGCCCACAAATGCATCACGAGACAAGCCAACACTTGGAACTGTAAATACCGAAGGAAAAGATGTAGATCAAAGAACACAATGCTCTCAGAGGCCTATGCTCCTCTAGGAGCAACATTCTTGAGTAAATATGAAGGTCTTTCCTAGCAGTTATTGCGAGACGTGCACATTTCTCGGGAGACCCTTAACTAACAAGCTAAGTCAATGACGAAAATCATTCAACCGGCTGGTGATTCTAGGAAAACTTTCTTCATAGTGAAGGAATGTTCCGAAAAATCTGCAACGCTGGCATGTTGTCACACCTAAGTACTATTTAGTATCATCATAGATGCATCTAGCTTGACAATTGGAGGAATATCACAACAACGTTTATTCAATATTTGTTGAACTATGGGATCTTACTCTGAACAGCTGCAAGATACTGGGTCGAGGTAAAGCACATTTGGCAGGGAAGATGAATATTTATCATGCTCCACTGCACTTTTTTCTGGTTAGAGTTTTTTTGGCAAGTGAGATTTCGACGGAATGGGGTCGCCAACCCCATGTCCAACCCTCCTCCTTTATCCACGCTTGGGACCGGCAGTAGCCCCTAAGGTTCTAATAGCGGAGAAGATACAAGTATTTATGAACAGTTGTCTACGCGAAATACTTCGGATTCGTTGGCCAGACACCATCACCAACAACGTACTGTGGGAGAGAACAAACCAGATTCGAGTGGAGGAGGAAATGAGGAAGAAGCGGTGGAAGTGGATAGGACACACAGTACGAAAAGCACCTAACTGCGTCACAAGACAAGCCCTCACATGGAACCCTCAATGCGAAAGGAAAAGAGGAAGGCCAAGGAACACATTACGCCGGGGAAATAGAGAAAGATATGAGAGGAATGAACAAACATTGGACAGAACTGGAGAGGGAAGCCCAGGACAGACAGAGTTGGTTGGAGAAAACTGGTGGGCGGCCTATGCTCCATTGGGGGTAACAGGCGTAAGTAAAGTAAGTAAGTCCACTGCACTGTCAGCGCTTTTCGGATGATTCAGTATTTCTTTTGTTCATCGATAATTTTACTTACTGTTACCCCTAATGGAGCGTAGGCCGCCGATCGGCGAGTTATTTTTTGGTTAGCTTTTTGTAGCGATCTGGATTTCCAAAGGACGAAGTCGCTAAGTTCATGCTTAAACCGCTGACTTAATCGGGGATTCAGACAGGCAGTAAAACTAAAATTGGCACAGGCGGTCAAAAACCACTAACTCTTTCTTCGGATATGTACGCCCATTAAAATTCTCAAGTAGAGAGAGTATCACAGTTTATTGCACATATTTCAGAAGGGGAATCTATGATGCTCACTAGAAGCACGTATGCTCGGTCAGACTATAGTCGGATGTAAATGGATAATCTTGTTTCTTAACCTGTGTCGAGTATTTCACACAATGGACAGAAGTAGTACCCATCAGGGATATTACTGTTGAAACAGTGGCATTCGACAACGTTGAATGACGGGTAGCAAACATCAACTGCCCTTCAATCAACAATACTGTCTTCTCATGCCATTTATATTCTGCAATTTTACGCTGTCTTGATACACACTGACATACAAATTCACAAACCTTAACCAACTGACTAGAATTAATGCAGTCCAGCAACTACAATAGCATCGATTGAATACAACCAATATTTCTTGAACCATAATGAAAGAATAAGCAGCCGCATGAAGAAATCAATTGGTTGAAAATTGTTCGCCTAAAATTTATTGAAAATTGAATCTTGCATGAACTTTGAAGAGGGTCAATCAGAAACTTAATGCTCTTTAATTTGTTTGCGCTAGTCCTACAACAGACTAGTTTTATAGTCATAGAAGGTGGATATGGATGCTTCTACAAGGTATCTGATATTTAATTACTGAAATCTATCTCTATCTGTGTGATATTTACTTGAATATTTTCCTATTTAGGAGAAAGTTTTAACACCAGGACTATAATCTCCAAAGTTTCCTTTAACTATTGAGAGTCCCACGATATTTTTCAGTGCGTTCTCCTAAAAATCTAAGTTCTGGGTGAAGTTTCTTAAGATTTGCAGAAAGATAGATTTTTTTGCCGCGAAATAGATTGACGCTTTTAGTAGTGTACATCACAAATTTAGAAGTAATTTGTTAATAATTTTATGTAGCTAATGTCACATATATGTAGAATGCTTATTGTCCAGAGGTTGCGACTATAATAGAACTATTTAAAACAAATGGTGAGTGGTAGTCATTGGTGTACTTGATGGTCATCCTGCACTGGTTAGCTTCATTGAGCTGATCTTTTTACTTAGTGTTCTTTTCAGTAATCGACCGGTTATGATTTGATTATTGTTTGAGAAAGAAATATTACTTGGCTTTTCATATTTTTATCCTGAATCACCAAAGCAACTATCCACACTACTTCGATTACTAGAGTGATAAGATTACTGCTTGATGCCTTCACCTTCTCGCTTCTAGCTGCCTGTTTTGATTAGCTGTTTATTGTTGCTTTGTTTCACAACCTCTTACAGACAAAAAGTACTACCATTTAAAAAGTCCTAACTTTTATACGAGCTAACTTTATGTCATCGGTCTTGACTTCAGAAGGAGATAAGATTGTGCTTTTTTTTATCATTCATGACACGAAGAGATTTTACTGAAAGATCTCGCTTCACACCTTTTTAAACAAGCTGGAACTGATAAAATCACTTTTCTGTTGGTACGTTTTTAATTATTTATTCTTTTTATTAAATTCAAAAGCAAATATATAGCCAATCATTATTATGGTTTTCATAAACCTAGAAAAAATCATTTCGCCACTCTGTAACTATTTTATCACCTCAGGACGAGAGTAATTTCACTCCAAAATATTCGAACTGATGCTCTAACTGATGGATTTGTACATTTCAATGTCTATAGGAGAAATGCCACAAATGACTGTTATAATAAAAATTGTTAATTTTTTACAGTCAGCTTTCGAAATTCCTTAACTCAGCCTCAGTAACTGAAGTAACATTATAGTGTTTTGTTTAGTTCTTGTCATCAATGTCTTTTTGGTGAATTTGGCTTCAATCAAGAAATGTACAATTTATTTTTCGATAAGTACCTCAAACACCTCTATTACTTGATAGTTTTTATAAAAATGTTAGTAGAATTAAAGTGACATTTTACAACTTATCAAGTAAGTAAAAAAATACCTATAAATTGAGGCACATGTAGTCACCAGAAGGATTTTAGATTAACGATTAAAGGAAGCTACCTATCTAAGCCTAATAGTTTTATTTTTTTATGTCCGTTTCAAATAAATGCCTTACTTTTATTTCTGCCGTTATTGAAAAATAGAAAGACAAGTTGCAGTGAGGAAGAAGAATGTAACTTGAGAATCACTGAGTCTGCCGATCACAGCTGTTGTTCAACCAAAACGAACAATCTTGGACCAAATTGTGTTCAGACAGTTACCTTACCCAATAACAAGACTATTTTACACTCACCAGTAGTAGCAGTCAAGCAACACTATGCTGATCCTCGTTTCTTGCCACTTCAAGATAGCCCAGCTAGTAGTATTGCCGGAAGTGCAACAACAGAGGGTACTAGTGAAGGTAGTCATAGTAGTAATAGCAAAAGCGGTAGCAGTAGTAGTTATAAGCCTCAATCGTCTTGTTCAAATGCACCAAACAAAGGAACTCAATGTAGTAGCAGTGCCTCATCATCGACTGAAGAAGCCGAAGCACGTGAAAAACGCTTTGGTAGTGTAAATCTACATCCTTTGCCAAGCGTTGCATTAACAGCTATAATGAATCAAGCGATGCGTCGAAGTTTATATACTGAGTCTTCAGTTCAAAATCCTGAACAACTACCGTACGCTGTTTTACTAACAACTCACAAAAATTATGGAAGCTCTTCAGGTCATGATGATTTAAAAATGAATTCAACACATGTTCCAACATCTAATAATGACCTGAGTAGTCTCTTATCACACACCTCAGCCCAAACTAATCTAAATTCTGTTCATAGTACATCTGTTGACGTTTGTTCGTCTCAATTTAATCAAAACTTGCCGTTACACCTTATTCCTCCTAATTTATGGCCACGTAAGTCTTTGTTAAATTTCGAACTAATAATATTATTTTTAATTGCCTGAAATGATGTAGTCAGTTTTTTTTTTATCCTGTAAACAAACAGACATAACAAATTTCGTTTCGATCCATCAATATTTTGAATGAAAATGGTCTGCATTTAGTATTGAAGTAAATTTAAATCAGCATCCTATCTCACAAAAATATTATTAGGTCATTGAAATAAACTTTCGTAATCACTTGATCTTGGAAAGTTTTTTATTAATCAAGTGAAGGTTTTCAAGAAATTGTTTACCATACAAAGTTTTAGTCGACAAACTGTATTCTCTATAAAAAATAATCAACATTACCCGAGTGAATTAACTTAATTTGGACTCCCCCGTATCTCTTAATCGAACCGAATACATACTATTGTACTGGTAAAACAAGAGCTAGTCATTGTAGCAGAGAGTGGTATTAGGTGAACAGAAAGCTAAAGCTACGTTTGTTCATATTGTAGTGAAGGAGAACACAGGTGAGGGCAGACGAATTGTATTTATCGCAAATTACAGAGATACTCAGTAAAATAGGAAAACCATATCGTAAACCGTTAATTTGCAAAACATCAATCCATCGTCTGACATTTCACTACTATTCATGCGTTTCATACAAATTCCACTGTGTTCCCACTATTTTGTTTTCTTGATCTTCCCCCCATCTTCTGCTGCCAGACATTACGTTTACACTCGCGTCATATACTACTTATAAGTAGCGCGCACCACAATATCATGAAAGTTTGAAATGAAATTGTATTTTTACCATTTCACCAATAAATTATAAGTGTTTATGAGCATACACAGATTTCTTAAATAAATTTTTTTTAAAAATATCTAAAATATTGCCTTGATAAATCAGTTTAAATCAGTTTAATAAACATTAATCAAGAATACACATTATAAACAATTCCTGAAAAAAGATTTTCAAATTTCACAGATTGAGATGTTAGTGATTAGTTTATATATATATTTGAAATTATTAACAATTATCATTTTGAGTTACAGTACTCAGAATAATTAAGAATTTTTGTTGTATTTGCACAGCTGCATAATTTAAAGTGATTTTAATGCAATTTTTAAAATTCAGAAATTGAAGCTCATCAAATCTGTTAGACATTGTAAAAAGAAACCATGATGATTCTTCAGATTTCCTTGTCAATAGTAATTGTATTGAGACGTTGTTAGTTCACTTTACTAAGATATATATAGCTCATACATTTTGTTCCCCTTGAAGTAAAATCAGGTAAAGTTGTAGCGTAAGATCAACACCGCTTATGTCCAAAAATTTTGTTCACCTGTAGATTGAATAAATTGAAAGTGTGACTAAGATATAGTGATAATAGACAGCAATATCGATCGTAAATGCATTAAGAAAAATGTACTGCCGCGAATTACGTAATAATCTACATATATGTATGATGAGGTACTACAAAGTGTATCATAGTCTAAGACCTTTGACTCAACTTAGTGCATAACTATAAACTTTCAGCATTTCTCGACTATACAATTCAAGGATATGTGTCTCCTCAAGGCGAACGCTTTGATTTTCGAATGGGTGCAAAGAAGTACTGGTCTCCTGCCTAAAACCAAATGTTTTATTCAAGGTTGTTCCGCCTTCAATGTTGCTTTACAACGCACAGTATTGTAATTAAAAACGTAAACTAAAGAAAAATTCTATTCATTTGGTAGTTAAATAGTGGGATCGAATTTGGCGAATAAGTCTGATTCTCAAATGTGTTATCACTCAGTTTACATGCCGCATTAGTAAAGTAATTTGAAACATTATCAACTAATGTCCTTGAATTCATGAATAAATCAATATAAGACCTCCATTTGAATTCTGGAAGCACTGGATTGTCGATTCGTCCTGACTTCAAGAAAACTCAGCATTCTCCACAAGCCTATAATGACAATGATTATCTGTCTACTGACGACTAGCTTCTTGCTGAAATTATCGGAGCTCTACTGAGAAGTCATGTTCATTGAAGTTCAACCGTGTCGATTTTATGGCAGCTACCCACTCAAGACAATGGATGAGGTTGCGCAATATCATGAATTGATCAAGGTTAGACATCAACACATTTGGATGCCGGCTCAGTGATCAAGAGGTTAGGCGTTCGATCGCGCGAGACCAAAGGTCCTTGGTTCACTTCTTTTGTAGGGGAGTCGTGGATGCGCACTGTTGATGAGTCCAACACTTGGACGAAACGACGATTCAATGATTCCAAGTCTCCGATGGTTGTCTAACATTGAATGATTCGTAACTTCAAAGAAACTTAACTATATGCACTACTTATAATGACAATTATCAACTAGGTTTATATATTGAAGAAGTTGTTATATTGTAATCAGCAAATCAAATTTTTCCTATTTTTTTCTTTTGAACGCAAACACCATTAATATCATCTATTATCAATTTAACGTCATTATTATTGTTCTGTCTTTCATTGAAATGTGTACCAAAGAAGTACATTAACCTTATACCAGCTCTCTACTCGAACACCACTGGTCGAGGGAGAGCTAATGGCGAACTGTCAACGGAATTCTTTACTTCAAGTGGTGTCCGTCAGGGATGTCAACTCTCTCCATCCTTGTTTAATTTTATCATAGACATGCTCTTAGAAATAGGCTTATCCTCCTCTGAATTTTCAGGAGTAGACCTATTACCAGGAGGTTCGCTTATCGACTTAAAATATGCCGATGACATAGTCCTACTTGGTGAAGACGCGAACAAAATGCCGAGTCTTCTGACTACCCTAAGCAACAATGCAAGCATGTTCGGGATGCAATTTTCCACCTCGAAATGCAATATGTTGCTTCAAGATTGGGTTGCAACGGCACCTGAACTAGTGATTGGGAGTGAAGTAGTCGAACGTGTAGACCGATTCACCTATCTTGGGAGTCTCATCAGTGCTGACGGCTTGGTGACTGACGAAATCTCAGCTCGAATACAGAAGGCTCGATTGGCTTTTGCCAACCTGTGTCACCTATGGCGTAGGTGAGATATCCGTTTGCTGACTAAAGGACTAGTGTACTGTGCAGCAGTTCGCTCTGTTCTACTGTGCGGATGGGAGACTTGGCTGTTAAGAGAAGAGGACTTCAATAGGTTACTAGTGTTCGATCATCGATGTCTCCGAAGCATTGCTCGTGTATCATGGGACAACCGTATAAGCAATGCTGTAGTTAGGAAACGGGTGCTAGGTAAGGATTTCAGATCAATAGATGAAGTAGTGAAACTTCATCAGTTTAGGTGGTTGGGACATATGTTACGTATGGCTCACCACCGACTGCCTCGAAGAGCTATGTTTTGTGGGTTAGGAGCAGGTCGGACGAAAGCTAGGAGCGGCCAGACCAAAACATGGCAGAAATCCATGAAGTCATTGACTAGTGGACTGAGTCCTTTTGGTAAATGTAGACTATCTGGTTGGGGTCCGCGAGACGAAAGTCACCAATGGTTAGAAACCTTGAACGACATGGCTCAAAATCGTATACAATGGCACAAGTGCATCCATTCTTTGAGCTCTCTTAAATCCTAATCTTCTGGATTCGTCAGCACCTCTACCTTTGTCTTTCTAACCTTATCTCACTGAATTATACTTATTGAATAATATCTTCGAACCTTAGTCTTCTTCATTACCATTAATACCTTTACTATCTTTATCACTATTGGATTTGAATTGACAAGTATATTTCTGTGCTCATGTGGTGTGGCAACATGAACTTATTTACATACGTACGAAGTTCTACGTTGCAACTGACTGACTTACCGTGAATCACAATATGATGATATACTTGCATTCGTTAGTCCTAAAATTTAAAAAATGTATAGCCCAAGTGAACATTTCTGGTAGGTATCGTTTGTTTTACGTCAAACAATAAGTCTTATTTCTGAACAGTCTAATCATAATTACTACATATATTTCCTGAAAGTAACAATTTATAGAATTCATTCGAGTTTGATAGGCATAATGAAATTGAAATCGATCACAATAAAAAATCTTGAAGAAGAAAGATTTACTAAATTAGATTATTTGAAGTGTTCTAGTGATAATATTGTTTAGTTGGTAGTACGTCTTTTACATTTTATTACATCAGTGTAAATTATCATTTCAAAACCGATAACTTTCTTTAAACGGATATCTTCTCTGGTTGATGTATGAACACTATTTCCAGTGCTATTATAGATTGACTATAAACGTTTACAACTAGAAAAAAATAAAACTGGGGAAGAGAGACAGGGAGAGCACAAAACAGCAAAAGCAATAATAATTATTACGATATGTCAATCAAGTCAACCATAATGTATGTATGTGGTACGTTTACTGTTCGGGTTAGATATCATTCAAATTAGTTAAACCTATAAGGAACGGTGTTAGCGTAAATTATGCGCGTGTATTGATTTGTTTCCAGAGTATACTGGAGGTTCCAGTCAGCAAGGTTTTAATCCCTATATTATTTGGGTTATAAGAGGGCTAGATAGCATGAGCATGAATTACTATTTTGCGGCCATTTATTTCAAACTCATTGTACAATTGATTAGATATTTGGATGATATCTCTACAGAATATTTAATCCAGTGTACTATCATGTCTTGTAGGAGCACAAACACATTGTGACCACCAGTGCATGTTAATTGTTGCTGAGAGTTCATCATCACATGACTAAGCACTACCAGTATTCTAGGGTAATTGAAATATCTTGTAATTAATTACCTTCACATTGAGATTTAGAGCAGATTTAAAAGTTCATTAATAAACAAAATCATTTATATTAGCCGAAATATCAAACAAATTTGGTTCTTAACGCTAAATAGGCATTGATAAGTAATATGCTTAAAAAGTAAATATTATCTGGTGGTTAGGTTATGTGCTTTGGTTTAAATATCCGATTGTATGAGCTATGACTTATACAAGCTGTGGTGCATGAGGGACCAGTGATTTCTATTGGCTAAAAGATCATTATTTCAGTAAGGCAACTTATTTGATGAAATCGACTAGGCTGACCTTTAGAAAAGTTATCTGCTCTTTTAGATTGAATAAATGGGGCGGATTCTAGAGATCTATCTCATACCTTAGGAAGAAGATGAGGATAAATATATCTTTTTGCAGATTCAGTACATAAAATGTTCACGTTCAACCGTGGAACAAGTTAATTTTTGATAGTCTACCTAACATTAGATCTTCCTACATTAAGAGTGTAGTTGAAGTATTTTATTTCATCTGCGTAAAGTATATTCCGATTTTGACAAGTCACCTATTATTTATAGTTCTAGTTGAGATAATGAGATCGTGGATTGACGGGTTCCAATCTGTAGACCTGTATAACCACTTAGTGTTAGAGGGTTTATTTTCCTTTGGCTGAGCCATTGTAGTGAATGAGAACACAGGTGGGGCAACCAAATTGTATTAAACGGAAATTACAGAATTACTCAGTAAAATTGGAACACCTTATCGTAAATTGTTAATTTGCAAAATATCAGTTCATCACATCGAACTGGACTGTTCCTGTTGCAAAACATCAATCCAATGTCACTGTTCATGGGTTTCATACAAATTCCATTGTGTTCTTCTAACTCTTCCTTTCTTGTTCTTCCCCCATATTATGCTGCCATACATTACGTTGACGCTCACGTCATATACTACTTATAAGTAGCTCACACCACATTATTACTGATACTAGTTTCTGTATGTATTTTATTTTCGTTCTGCTTAGACGTCTAAATCTTAACACTACTTTAAAAAGCTGTATTGTAAGGTTTAGAGGTTTGAGTATGTGCTTCTACTGTACATTTGCGGAATAACAAATTTTAGGACATATTATCGTTGTTGACATTAAGTATAAGTTGGTAGTCTGAACTTGCAACAGGTTTACGTTGATGCTTATGGCAAGTTAACATTCTTCATTAATAAATAACTTGGAATATTGATCGACCGGTGAAATGTTAGTCGCAAGATTGGTTAATGTTGATAAACTAACAGAATTCTTTGTAAAATTATACATTAATATTTTCGTTTGAGGTATACTTTTGAATACGTCTATGATTTTTGGTCTTATCTGAGATTATACGGACATCCATGAATTTGGGCAAATGTTCAGCTTAACCGTTTGGATTCCGTTATTGTTGTTCAGCCGCTAAATGTAGATTGAATCCAAGGAAAATAAAACATGACAATTGGTGCTTTTCATAAAGGCATCATAAAATGTTAGTTGTATAGAACAGTATAGAACACCTCATTGATTTAAGCGGGATTTAGACAGGTCTATGATGAAAAAAAGTCACCTTATTTCTGATGATGAATCACTCAGTAACTCCGCTAACAATAATATTTTACGTAATAATTGATAAACTAGATTTATGCTAATAAGTCTATTAATTACAGATTAGCCAGAAAAAAAAGATCTATAAATTCTGTAGGATTCTCATAATCTTAGAACCTGTTTGCCTTTTGTTAACTCAAAGTACGCTAAAAAAATCATCTAGTTTGATATAAACATGTTTTTTTTAAGGAAAGGTTAGTACATTTAAAAAGGATAAATAATCAAGTCGGATACTCAAATCATACCTTAATTATCAGTGAATAACAACAAGTTGAACTTTAATTTATTCGCACTACAGGGTTGGGAAGATTGTTAAGTTACACATTTTTTTGAAACCGTGAGTCGATCAATATTAGACTACCATTAGAAACCTGGAAGCACTGATAGACGGCCGTTTCATCCTGGCATGGGACTCCTCAGTGGCAGTGCGCATCCACGACTCCTGAACCTGGCAGGATTCGAACCCAGGACCTTCGGTATTGTGTGCGAACGCCCTAACCGTTAGACCACTGAACCGGTACCCGATGGTGTTAATGTCTAACTTGAACTAATTTCTGTTTTGTTTTGTTTTGTTTTTTTGCTTCTATGCACAGAATTGATTTGTCCAATACATGCTGATAATTTTCTGGCTCAATTTTCTCAAATTTTATGCAAAACAAACAATGGTGAGTAGTGTAAAAAAAGAAAAAAGATTATTTCAACGTATATTCCCTTTGTATATCCTGTTAATTGTACTGCCTTTTTATTATTATATCAATAATATTAAAAAACTGACAAAAATCAACAGAAATTCAACCGTTCTAGATTGAAATATCATTATGATAACTCCATTTTACAGTATTAACCCTAGAGTGTATTACTTACTTACTTAATTACTTACGACTGTTATCCCCAATCTAGCATAGGCCACCGAGCAGCTTTCTTCAACCAACTCTGTCCTGGGCTTCCTTTTCCGATTCTTTCCAATGTTAGTTCACTCTTCTCATGCCTGTCTCCATTTCTCAGCGTAATGTGTTCCTTGGCCTTCTTCTTTTCCTTTTACCTTGAGGGTTCCATGTGAGGGCTTTTCTTGTGACTCAGTTCGGTGCTTTTCGTAGTGTTTATCCTATCTACTTTTACTGCTTCTTCCTGATTTCATGCTCTGGAATTTGGTTTGTTCTCTCTCGCAGTAGATTGTTGCAGATGGTGTCTTGCTTAGTCAACTGGTAATGAATACTTTTATCTTCTGTATGATGGCTTTCCTAGTTCTCCATGTTTCCGCTCCATACAGTAGAACAACTGTCTTGACATTGGTGTTGAAAATCCTGATTTTGGTTTTGATTGAAAGTTGTTTGGAGTTCCAGATATTTTTCAATTGTAGAAATGTAGTCCTTGTTTTGCCAATCCGCGCCCTCTCATCTGCATCGGATCCGCCTTTCTCGTCGATGATGCTGCCCAGATATGTAAGCGTGTTAACGTCCTCCAAGGTATCTGCATCAAAAGTGAGTGATTTGGTTGGTGCATGTTGTGTTGTATCGGAGAATTTTGCTTTTTCCTTTATGTATGTTGAGAACTGGTGCTTCAGAGGCTTCTGCTAAATTGGTCTTCTGGAGTGTATACTAACTGATAATTAAATGAGCTTACATCAATGAATTCGATTGAATCTAGATTTTGAAATAGTAATAAAACAATAGTTATTTTGGTGAAAACCATCTAAAACGTACGGATACTATAATTCCTCCGAATTTTGAACCCGTTTATCTTGTGTTCAACTTGTTCTTCATTAAGAAATGCATTTTCAGTGGGTTATCCGTATCAGTTTAAATCTTATCCTTCACTGTGATAGTGATCTTTTAACTTTTTTAAAATGTTCAAATGATAAAGAAGGTGATGAATAAATGCTTACTCAAACTGAACCATTCATACTCTTCTTACTTTCCAACTGAAGCGATAGAAAGTGTAGCCAAATATAAAATAAAGGAAAACTGTTAATTATATTCAATGCTCATGAAAACATATTTAAAAATAGCTTAAAATTATACATTCAAGATAACAAACAAACAAAACAGCTGATTATTGGGGATGTTAGATCCCCAAAACTTGCTTGATAAATGCCTTAGTTTTTGGATTTCATGTTTGCCAGCATGGGTTGATATTCACTTATTTCTATTTTTTTTTTTATTAAATTTTGTGATTCAAATGTTTTTCTCCCTTTTTTTTTAAAAAAGAGATCAACGAAACCAACAATGATAAAACAATATCAACAAATTTTCCAATTCTGTGCACAAAAAATGAACAATCACTTGGGAATATGACATCATCTACAACATTGGAAGAAATGAAACCCGATTACAATAATAATATGAATAATTTGAAAAAAGCAACACATACAATCATTACAACTACTGTACCTGAAACAAATACTTATAGTGGTATACCTGTAGTAGGATATTCATGTAATGTATCTGGACCAAATAATAATAATAATAATAATAATAATAATAGTGCCGTACAACCTACTAGTCAACAACGTGTTGGCCCATATTATTTAGGTCCTACACTTGGTCGTGGTAATTTTGCTGTAGTGAAATTAGGCAAACATTCACAATTGTCTGTAAAGGTAAAAATTGAAATCAACGAGTTATTTTATTCCTATTTTATACCTAGTTGATTAAAGTAATAATTAAATTAAATTTAATTAAATTTTATTCACTATTTTTGTATGTATTCAACAGTGTTTAGTTTCGATTGTAAATTGTACAAGTGTTTTTTATTGGATTATGATTAACATATCTAGAGAGATGATTTTTTTAATAGTGATATATAAATATTGTTACGATATTCATCCAATATTCTAAGAGAATTATTGGTCAATTCCTATTGGTTAATTCCTACTGGTCAATTTTATGATCGTCTTAGATATCAATATGACGTGCTCTAATGTTATTTCTTATTGGTTGTCCTGATTATCAGTGTCACTTCAAATGTTACTTCCTATTGGTCGTCCTGACTGTCAATGTCACAGACTTTGATGCTGTTTCATATTCGACCAAAATGTATAAATACGCATTCATTATCTGTAACATTTTATGACTACGACCAGGACCAGGACCCGGTCCCGGATCCTTAGTCCGGGATCCTGATTCTCTTCTGGATTCGGACCTCGTACTTTCTGGATGCTTGTAGAATACAGGTTTTACTTCATATCATATCTTCTTCTTTTATTCAATGGGAGTCGGGATAATCGGATTTGAGTATCATGTCGTGTCACCGGATCCTCGTTCTCGTTTTCCGACTAGGTAAACGCGTAATAGTTCAAGCATATCAAGTTGACGTATTTACGTGCAGGCGTAATATATATATATATATATATATATATATATATATATATATATATATATATATATATACAATGAAATTTCTACTAATCTTAATGTATACACTTTATTATACTGACTGGATTACATGCTCACATTCCTTATTACTTAATTCTGATCTTAATAATTGAATAAAATCTTGGGTAAATTTACACAGAAATACCAGAGGTTTCGAATTGGTAGGATGATATGCTCGTCAGTTGATATGCTCGAAACTAATATGAGTTAACCTTAGTTGGCAAACGGAGCGAGGATCGATGATCTGGCAACACGACAGGCTACTCTAATCCGAGCGTCACAAGGCTACACTAAGTAGAGGAAGAAGTCTTGACAAGGCGTAGAAAGTGTATTTTAATAGCACCCAGTTATATAAAGTCGACAAGCACACAAATCGAGTTAATTTATACATAATAAAAACATCTTTGGGAGAGCCACAAAAATAGCCTACTACAATATCACACCAACCAATAACAGTCAAGTACCTTCCGAGTGGGAAGTGTGATCTCAAGGTCAACTGATCAGCCCATGCGCGAAAACATAAAATCCAAAATTAGGACCTTCATCAAGTGAGTTCTGGGGATGTAACTTCCCCAACAAAGGATCACTTGTTTATACAACTGTACTAAATTATCTCAAAAAACAGTGTAAGTGTAAAATAAACAGTTTTCTTTTGTGATAAGATCGATTATGAATCAGTGCATTTGTTTCACTCAACCTCATACCATTTTATTGTTTTCATTCTTCCATCATAGGTTGCTATTAAAATTATGAATAAAGATTTGATTGGTTCTAAAAATCTTAGTAAAATTTCACGTGAACTTGAAGCAATGAAACGTTGTCAACATCCACATATTATTCGTTTATATCATGTTATGGAAACAGAATCAAGCATTTTTATGGTTACTGAATATGCTAGTAAAGGAGAAGTATTTGGTAAGTTTGTATTTTTAAATGCATCCTTCGATTGGTTTTTGGTGTTGTTACTGTAAAATAACACTACGGATATGTTATGTTCGTCACTTGGTACGCTTGAAGCAATTACGAGTTCATCTTAGTCGATAAACTAGAACGAGACTATTACCAGCGTCCAGATAGGCTACCTTGATCTTAAACTGCAAAAGAGAAGTCCTGATAAGCGTAGAAAGTATATTCTACAAACACCCAGCAATCACACAGTACAATCAAGCACACATCTCTCGTTTATTTATACATCATAAAAACGTCCTTTGGACAGTCACAAAAATAGCACACTAAAATGCACAGCAGCCAATCACAGCCGAGGATTTTCCTGATGGGAAATGAAATCTCAAGGTCAACTGATCAGCTCATGCTGGAAAACGTGAAATCCAAAATAAGGCATTTATCAGGCGACTTCTTTGGATCTAACATACCCAACAAACTTTTAGTCGAACAAAAAAAAATACAGAAATCATTTCTATTCAAAAGTAAGATTTAATCAATTCTCTTTAAATGATATTCAACATTTAGAAGTAAAATAGTCGAAATAAGCTGAAACACATCAAAGACACTATTCAACATACTCATTATAACAGTTGAATGCAACATTGTGAGTGCGCTTATCAAAAATATCTGATAGAAAGACACAAAAAAAACCCAGACTTAAGATGCTTCTTCAGGCTATAAAGTGATTTGTCAAGATAGATCGTTATCGAATAACAAAAAAACTATTATCAATTTAAGAATATGTCAAATATCAAAATATGTGAGATTTTTCAACATTGACACTTAATGCATAGAGAGTAGATAATACACTTCATTGATAAATAGTCAATAGGTCGTTGTTGTGTCATATACGCATTTATAACGTAACGAGATTGTCACTCATTTTACGTATCGATATATAATCATAAAGGTGACTTTTTGTCGCAAATCTGAGAGTACTAAGTGATCTGATGATAAGTTTCTATGAAACTACTCAACAGTGCTCATTCATAATACTACAACGGTTGAACTTAGGATGGATAATCCTGGATTACTGAATTGAAGCCAGTTGCTTATAATTTAAACTCCAATTAAGTTATGTCGGTGAATCGGTGGTCAGAGATAGTGTGGTCTAGTTTCGAATTTCACTTGTCACAGATCAATTATAAAAACTTTAGAAAATGTTTATGTTACGCATGCATGTAAACACGTCAACTTGATATGCTTGAACTATTACGAGTTTACCTTAGTCGGAAAAACGAGAGCGAGAATCCGGTGACACGACATGCTAGTCAAATCCGATTATCCCAACTCCCATTGAATAAAATAAGAAGACTTGATATGAAGTAGAACTTGTATTCTACAAGCATTCAGAAATTAAGAGGTCCGAATCCAGAAGAGAACCAGGGTCCCAGACTAGGGATCCGGGACCGAGTCCTGGTCATAAAACGTTGCAGATAATGCATATTTATACATTTTGTTCGATTAGGAAACAACATCGTATTCTGTGACATTGACAGTTAAGACGACCAATAGGAAGCAACATTTGAAGTGACATTGATAGTCAAGACAACCAATAAGAAACAACATTGGAGTATGTGACATTGATATGTAGGACGACCACTATAAAATTGAGCAGTACGAACTAACCAATAGGAATTGAGCAATAATTCTCTTAGGATATTGGATGAATATCCTAACAGTTTACTTCAGTTCAATTATTCGTATATAGTTAGTTATTACTTGATATGATATTTTCTTTTATTATCCGATTAGATCATATTAGTTTATCTCATGCATTTGGGGAAAAAGAAGCAAGAGAATTATTTTGGCAAATTGTTTGTGCCATTGAATTTTGTCATGCTTCGGGCATTGTACATCGTGATTTAAAAGCAGAAAATCTTCTATTAGATGCTGATTTTAAAATTAAAGTTGCTGGTAAGCTACCCATTCATTACACATGATGTATTCTCATATTTGTGTTTTCAAATCTCAACGAGAGGCTTTTCTTCGAACGAATTGCTTTTTGGATAACCATTTTAAAAAATCAGAAATTTTTAAAAATTCTTTGACAGACAACATCTACCTTTTTGTACAATACCAATAGACGCCTGTTTCATTTTCTACATAGTTGTACTTAAAGACTGTTATGACTTTATCCTTTTATAAAAGTGTCATTTAATTAAAGTATGAAATCAGTTATCTTCTTTGCTGGTGCAAACAATGATAGGTTTAAAGTCAACAGTAACCAGTCACAATTGAGGTTAACAGAACAAGTAAACTACAGGTCAAACTTGGAGAAATTTTGAGTACTTCACTTCTTCTATCTGAAGTTTATGCTGATGATATTGTTCAGAAGAAACACAATGAAAGCTCCACAATCAAAGCATTCAGCTCAGAGAACGTAACACCACCACAGTTTGAAGATTGATCCTAAGTTAGTTAGAATCTGAATTCAAACGTTGTTATTCACCATACTATTTTTCTATATGCCTTCTGTAGAAATGAGAGATTGATGAATGTATCGCATGTCATGATTGGAAGGGTTGAGAATTTTCTGCTGCATTGCAATCTATGATATTCAATAGAGCTATTATGATTATTATTATTATTATTCATCTGATCAGTCCTTTTTTTGCTGAAATCACTATTAACTCATTTACAAATTTACCTTTTATTACGTGATTTCTTTTATTTGGTCAAATATTCTAAAATCTTAAAATACGGATAGTGAAATATAGAAACATAGATGCTTGAAATATGTGATCAACTCATAGTTAAATGCTATGATTACCATAAACTTCTTATCAAGTAACAGAGTTTATCTCACTTGTTAAACAAATCAGAACTATTCATTGCACTACTAACAATATTTTGTAAGTAGTACTACATTTTCCGTTAAATATAATGCAAAGAAATACTTCAATTACAGTTATTCCTTTGTTTCAGTTTGGCAGTTGAGTTGTTTTATTTCCTTACACTGACTAGAGATGATCTTTGACTAATCAATACACAACAACAACTACAACGAGAAAACTGATACTCTACGCTTTAAGGGTAATATCGGCTTGATGTGTTTCTTGGCATTCCACTTTTCCTTTTGCCTTGAGGGTTCCATGTAAGGGCTTGTGTTGTGACGCAGTTCGGTGCTTTTCGTAATGTGTGTCCTATCCACTTCCATCGCTTCTTCCTGATTTCCTCCTCCACTCGAATCTGGTTTGTTCTCTGCCATAGTAAGATGTTGCTGATGGTGTCTGGCCAACGAATACGAAGTATTTTGCGTAGACAACTGTTAATAAACACTTGTATCTTCTGGATGATGCCTTTCGTAGTTCTCCGAGTCTCCGCTCCATTCAGTTTAACTGTCTTGACATTTGTATTGAAAATCTTGATTTTGGTTTTGTTTGCAGATATTTTTCAATTGTAGAAATGCAGCCCTTGCTTTGCCGATCCGCGCCATCGCACCTGCATCTGATCCACCTTGATTGTCGATGATGCTGCCCAGATATGTAAAGGTGTTAACGTCCTCCAAGGCATCTGCATCAAGAGTGAGTGATTTGGTTGGTGCATGTTGTGTTTCATCGGAGAATCGTGGTTTTCCCTTTATGTATGTTGAGAACTGTTACTGTTGAGGCTGCTGCTACACTGGTCGTCTTCTGTTGCATTGATTGTTGAGTATTCGATAGAACAGCCAGACCATCCAGCTGAAGTAAGCAAATAAGACTTTAGAAAAAAACACAGTTTCAAAAGTTTACTATCTTCAAGTGAAGTCCGTCCCTCATAGTAAATTATTAGAATGATATATATATCAACAGGGAACGAATAACCTACTATCATGACACATAATTTTTGTTCAAAAATAAAACAGCCTGTCAATGTAATTTAATGAATCTGTTTTCTTTTCTTTTTTTATTTTTTAATCATAATAATAGATTTTGGATTTTGTAATTTTTTTCAAAATGGTCAATTATTATCTACGCATTGTGGAAGTCCTCAATATGCTGCACCGGAATTATTTAAAGGTGAATCATACGATGGAACATTGGCTGATGTATGGGTAAGTTATAAAAATGGATACAAGAAGAAGATGATATATGTGGTTGTGATATAAATTGTTTTAAAGATTACCGTGTTGATATTGATAATGATATACTTGACCATTTCATTGATTTTTAATTTTCATTGTATGAGATGGTTACAGTGTGTCTATCATTCCTATGCAATTGCATGCATAACTTATCACCTTATGAGAGTAAATGTTGGAATTTGTTCAGGAATGATATAAACCTTGTATAGTTAATTGACTTTCGATCTGAACTATTAGATAGTCCTACTTGGTGAAGACGCTGACAAAATTCAGAGTCTTCTGACTACCATAAGCAACAATCCAAGCATGTTCGGGATGCGGTTTTCCCTCTCGAAATGCAATATGTTGCTTCAAGACTGGGTTTCATCGGCACCTGAACTAGTGATAGGGAGTGAAGTAGTCGAATGTGTAGACCGCTTCACTTATCTAGGGAGTCTCATCACTGCCGATGGCCTGTTGACTGACGAAATCTCAGCACGGATACAGAAGGCTCGATTGGCTTTTGCCAACCTGCGTCACTTATGGCGTAGGCGAGATATCCGTTTGCTGACTAAAAGACGAGTGTACTGCGCAGAGGTTCGCTCCATCATACTTTATGGCTGTGAAACATGGCCAGTCAGAGTATAAGATATTCGTAGGTTACTGGTTTTCGATCATAGCTATCTTCGAAGCATTGCTCGTATATCGTGGGACACCCGAGTGAGCAACGCTGTTATTAGGAATCGGGTGCTAGGTACGAATGGCAGATCAATAGATGAAGTGCTGAAACTTCATCAGTTGAGGTGGTTGAGACATGTGTTGCGTATGCCTAATCACCGATTGCCTCGACGAGTATTGTTTTGTAGTGTACGAATAGGTTGGAAAAAGTTATGGGCGGCCAGACCAAAACGTGGCACAAATCCATGAAGTCATTGACAACAAGTGGACGTAGCCATGTCGGTAATTGTCGACTACCTGGTTTGGGTCCGCGAGACGATAATGATGGATGGTTAGAGACCTTGAACGGCATGGCGCCGGTGCATTTATTCTCTGTGTTCTCTCAAATCCTAATCTTCTGGGTTCTTCAACAACTCTAGTGGTCTAACATTGATCGATTCATGGTTTCAAAGATAGTAAACTTATATCAGCATGCAAATAAAACATCAAGAGAAAAAGTGAACTTGAATTAAAATAATAAAATTTAGCCCAAAAGAAATGAAATTTCTGTTACGCTCGTCATTAGGCATGCTTGAAACAATTACGGGTTCACCTTAGTTCAGGAATAACGAGAACAAAAAAACCTGAACCAGTGTCCAGGTAGGTTACTGTGATTCCTTGACCCAATTATACCAGAAAGAAGTCTTGATATAGTGTAGAAAGTGTATTCTACAAACACAGCCCAGCCAGCACTCAAATTGCGTTTATTTATACTCTGTAGAGACGTCTTTGGGACAGTCACAAAAATAGCACACTAAAATGATACAGTAACCAATCACAGCCAAAGATTTTCCTGGTGGGAAATGTAATCTCAAAGTCAGCTGACCGGCCCATGAATAAAATCAAAAAATTAAGAATTTTATCCATTGAGTTCTGGCAGATCTAACATCCCCAACAATTTCATATTGCATAAGATAAAGGAAACAATAAATAATTAGTTAATCATTTTTTTCTCAAAAAAAATAAAGCTTACTTCGAAAAAAAATTTCTAGTTTCGATTTACTCTTTGCATTTTCATCATTTAATTCATTTTATCTTAAAATCAACATGTGACTTTTTTGTTATTTTTCTTAATTACAAAGATTGTACACTAGAAATTTTATTTGAGTCCATGAATCGATCCATATTAGACCACCATTAGAAACCTGGAAGCACTGAAAGACGGCTGTTTCGTCCAGGTATGAGACTCATCAGTGGCAGTGCGCATCCACAACTCTTGCACCTCATAGGACTGGAACACAGGACCTTCGATTTTGCAAGAGAACGCCTAACTTCTGAACCAGTGAGCCGGTACCCGACAGTGTTAATGTCTAACTTTGCACTACCTCATACACTGTTTTTGGTAGTTACTGTATACACTCGAACAGGTTGAACTTCACTGGTCACGACTTCACACTAGAACTAGGAGAAGATTTTCTCACGGAGCTAGTCACTAGTGAGCACAGGTAATTTGCATTACGAGGTTGTTGTGAAGATTGTTAAGTTACAAATTTTTGAAACCATGAATTTGATCAAGTTAGACATTAACACACAATACCGAAGGTCCTGGGTTCGAATCCTGCGGGGTGCAGGAGTCGTGGATGCGCACTGCCACTGAGGAGTCCCATACCAGGACGAAACGGCCATTATAGGGTTGCGGATAAAATTGAGTGACTTTTTGAAATCATGAATCGACCAATGTCAGACTACCACGATTATTATCAGTTTTAAATGATGGGAACCTATATTTCAACAAAGAGTTTCCCATCTTATGAATTTCCTCACGATGAATGAAATGATGTTTAGTCAATGCTGATTGGTTGATCTGTTCAACGTACTGTTATTCAAATCTTTGTGAATTTAATCTCCTCCTGTGAGTATTTTTTATAAACTGTTTGCCTGTACATGGTTTTCACAGCAAACACATCTAATGAAATATCAATCAATAAAAATATCATTTACATCAAATTATTTTTTATTGTTGTTACTATTTTTCTAGAGTTTAGGTGTTATTTTGTATATTCTTGTTTGTGGTTCATTTCCATTTCCTGGTGAATCATTGGGTGAAATTCGTACACAAGTACTACGTGGTCTTGTACGTTTTCCATTTTATTTATCAACATCTTGTGAACAAGTTATACGAAGTATGTTACAAGTAGATCCTGTTCGACGTTTTAAATTAAAACAAGTAAGTATGCATTTTGATTCAAGTTTACATCACATCGAGTTAAACATCAATTTATTAGGCAGATTGAATTTTCTCTCCTTTATGGACAAAAGTAAAAGTTAATATAAATGTGTTCTGTTTTTTCTAATGCTTTTCCTAATGATAAAGGCGGGAGTAACTATGATTCTCTTAAGGTAGCCAAATGCCTCGTCATATGAGGGGCGGATTGCCGAGCTGCCTGAGCTTGCCTCGGGTTACGCAATGTGCTGCCTTTAGGGGGTTGTGGTGGCGACTACCTCTTCGTGGTCCCGCCAGGCAACGTGGTGGTGGCAACATCGCTGCGGCTAAACGTCGTTCCGATCGCTGGGGATTCCGTGCTTTCCACGGTCCGGATAATTGGCACGCTCATGGTCGCAAGGCTGTGGATGCGTCTGACCAATCTGGGGGATTAAGACTGAACGACTCTAGGTCCGAATCCCGTCCTTAAGCGTAGGTAAACTACCGAAAGGGATGTAGTAGGGTGATCGAGGGCGGCCCTGGACCCTATGTTCGGGGATGCAGCCGCAGACATCCTGTACTACTGGCGCCGACCCTATGTGGTTGTCCCTTACATGCTCCACTCGATGTTGTGTGTGAACTGGCGTCGAGGCCCCCTTAAACAAGGGTCTCAAGTTGGGTTCCGGTGCTTTAGTGGTGAAAAGGGTGCTGAACACCAATGATGTCTGCCCACTTCTGTGGGATGAGCCCTGCTTGGCTGAGCGCTTGCGTTTGGTCGAGTTCATGACATCTTCCTCATGGAAGAGTGTACGTTCTAGCTGACCTTGTGGGACAAACTCGATCTTTAGCTTTATGTGGGGTAAGATGGGCCTCGATCGATTGTATCAACGCAAGGCAGTTGGAGGCCAGACGGTTGGAATGGCTGCTGGTTAGTGCACTGCTTGGGTGGCTCGGTAACCTGCTACGGGGTGCCTTGTCCGGAAGGATAAGCCCGCCTTGCTGCCCTCGCCGATTGGGGATTGTGGGCTGTGGTTTGGCAGGTGGGATCTTGTGATTCATAAGTGCCTGTGCAGAGGCCACTGCTCGTGTGCGCACTTTTTGGATGTCCGATATGTCTGCAGACCAAACCGGACAACATGTATGTACCCGAAAGGGGCAGGGGTGATTACTGACGGCATCAGTGAGAATCCTTGTGCTGTATATCAATGCAGCGATGTGCATGTGCAGCAGGCATGTTGGTTGACCAAGAATATAGCCAAATGCCTCGTCATGGAAAGGTGTACGTTCTAGCTGACCTTGTGGGACAAACTCGATCTTTAGCTTCATGCGGCATAAGATGGGCCTCGATCGATTGTATCAACGCAAGGCAGTTGGAGGCCAGACGGTTGGAATGGCTGTTGGTTAGTGCACTGCTTGGGTGACTCGGTAAACCGCTTCGGGGTGCCAGGTCCAGCTGGGTAAGCCCGCCTTGCCGCCCTTGCCGATTGGGGATTGTGGATAGTGGTTTGGTTGGAGCGATCCGTTGATTCATGAGTGCCCGGGCGGGGGTTACTGCTCGTGTGCGTACTTTTTGGATGTCCAACTTGTCTGCAGACCAATCTGGATAAACATGTACGTTCCTTCGTGGGGCAGGGATGACTACTGTCTTAGTACAGTGATAAATCTCTGCGTTGACGTAAAAAGTAGCAATGTGCATGTGCAACAGGCCTGTTGGTTAACCAAGATTTTATGATACATTATAAATAAATACTTACTTATTTACGTACGCCTGTTACCCCCAATGGAGCATTAGCCACCGACCAGTATTCTCCAAACCACTCTGTCCTATGCCTCCTTTTCCAATTCTGTCCAACTTTTGTTCGATCTTCTCATTGTCTTTCTCTATTTCCCGGTGTGATTTGTTCTTTGGCCTTCCTCTTTTCCTTTGACCTTGAGGGTTCTATACGAGGGCTTGTCTTGTGATGCAGTTGGATACTTTCCGCAGCGTGTGTCCTATCCACTTCCACCGCTTCCTCCTGATTTAAACCTGGTTTGTTCTGTACCAAAGTAGGTTGTTGCTGATGGTGTCTGACCAACCGATCTGAAGTTGATACCTTCCTCTACTATACTATTCGTCTTCTCTTGAGTTTGTTGTTTTATATGCGATAGAAAAGCCAAATCATCTGCGTAATCCATCCAGATAGTCCAGCTGCAATATGCAAATAAGAACTTAGAAAAACACAGAATTTTGCTTTTCCTTTTGTGTATGCTGAGATCTGTTACTGCTGAGGCTGCTATCGTCTTCTCTTGCATTTTTTGTCACTTGACATAATAAATAAGCTACTGGAAAAATAAATCGATCCACAAAACATTGCTTTTCATTCAATGATAACTAGGAAATAAATAATAAATGACTAAAAACAGAATAATGAGAATTTCAGGACGTAAAATTTTTACCTACATTTTTTCAAAATATCTGCGCTGTGTGTAATGATTACTTTTTTTAGCTCAGTGAACACCAAAAACATAAACCATGACAATAACCAGTTCTAGCTTCTAAACTAGTAAATGACATCGATTTGTATAACGTATAGGTTAGAAACTCAGAAGCTATTGAGAATGTTTTATGCAAGTCATTATTGATATAGTAATAGTCTCTGATGGAAACATTTGCTGACATTAGTGAGAATCTCATTAGGAACAGTATTCTCCACGAGTCTCTGTTTTCTTCATAGTCTGCTAAAAACATCTTTGCTAAAGTTTTACTAAATATTCACATAACTACGTTACGTACTTTCTTACTTACACCTGTTACCCCCAATGGAGCATAGGCAGCCCACCAGTTTTCTACAACCAACTCTGTCCTGGGCTTCCCTCTCCAGTTCTGTCCAATGTTTGTTCATTCCTCTCATGTCTTTCTCTATTTCTCAGCGTAATGTGTTCTTTGGCCTTCCTCTTTTCCTTTTGCCTTGAGGGTTCCATGTGAGGACTTGTCTTGTGATGCGATTGGATGCTTTTCGCAGTGTGTGTCCTATCCACTTCCACCACTTCTTCCTGATTTCCTCCTCCACTGGAATCTTATTTGTACATTACTACGTACACATATATATATATATCTATATATTCCAAATTATGTTGATATTTCGATTTGGAATACAGTTTCAAAATTGCAATTAATCATTATTGTAATGTTTATCACTGTAAGTATTTTATATTATCAACACCTTTGCTTTGATGGAACAAATTTAGAATAAAATAGATGCATTTCGCTTCTCAATTAATCCACAACTCTCAGCAAAAATTGTTCTTCACTTAACTTCATACTTATAAATCGTCACTTTGTTAAAATTTGCTGAATGTTATTTTCTCAGATTTTCTTGACTTTAAAACTCTGAGTTTATGATTGCGTTGCGGGGTTGTTGTGAAGACTGTGAAGTTTTACTTCTAACCATGAATCGACCAATGTTAGACCACCATTAGAAACCTGGAAGCACTGAATGACGGCCGTTTCGTCGTGGTATGGGACTCATCAGCAGTGTGCACCCACGACTCCTGCACCCCTCAGGATTCGAACCCAGGACCTTCGGTATTGTGCTCGAACGCCCTAACCGTTAGACCACTGAGCCGGTGTCCGTCGGTGTTAATGTCTAACTTGATCAAATTCACGGAGTTGCGCAACCTCATACACTGTCTACATCCGAACAGGTTTGAACTTCACTGGTCATGACTTTACGAATAAAATTCTGTGATTATTTCATTTTATTTTATTTTTTTACTTTTAGGTTATGACCACAGCATGGATGCAAGAGTCACCAAATGTGGAACATTATAAATCACTGATGAATAAATATCGAATTCAAGCAAAAGAACATCAATTTGAAATTCTATTTCATCAACAACACCCGGAACATAGTAAAATTGCCAAAGAAGAATTTCTCGAAAGAATTGAACGTAAACTAGATAGTGGGATTGTCAAAGCATTATCAAATGAAACAGGTTTAGATGAAGAACAAGTAAGTGATCAAATGATTCATGTAGCTTTGTATTTGATTCGATTTTGGGGCTCCCTACTTTGGTGGCCCGCAATCTACTACTATTCATGGATAAGTACATCGACTGTGTTATATGAAATAAATCTCCTCATCAGTTTCTGTATACGCCTAAGTAGTATCGTATACTACTTAGGCGAATCCCGTTTGTGCAACAGCGGTAACATAAGAAGCCAAATATGGATTCGGTTGCATGATAGTCTGAAGTATACAATCAAAGTGAAGTGAAGCGGACTGAGAAGGAGCAGAAGGCGAGAGAGCAAACTCCATCCGATGAAGCATGACTAAGAATCTATAGTCAGATAAAAATAAGCCAGACACACACGAATAAAAGCAACACAGATATGAGCGAATGACTGACAAGATCAAAAGACAAGTAGGCTAATTAATTTGTCCATAAGCTAGGGTGAGCCTTGTCAGCTAGACATAACAAGACTCACTACAATTACATTTCTTCCAGTCATATTACCTCGTATTATGCATTAGAGATTAGACTAGATTACATTCCATGTCTATTCCAAGTGAATTATACGATCCAACAAAAAGTTTTTTTGCGTAATACTTTGTAAATATCATCGTAGTTTAACAAATTTACAACTGTACCATCGACTGACTAGCTAACTTCAAGTGGCCGTTTCGTCCTGGTATGGGACTCATCAGTGGCAGTGCGCAACCACGACTCTTGCATCCCGCAGGATTCGAACCCAGGACCTTCGGGTGGACGAGTCGTGGATGCGCACCGCTGAGGAGTTCCATACCAGGACGAAACGGCCGTCTTTCCGTGCTTCCAGGTTTCTATTGCTGGTCTAACATTGATCGATTCATGGTTTCAAAAAATGTATAACTTAACAATCTTCACAACCTCGTAATGAAAATTAGCTAAGTAAATCAGCATGCAGTATCAAAAATTTTAAATTCATGTGATTTTTATTCTCATTGTCTGGACAATACTTAATCTGATCAGATTCGGCCAATCACTGTCAACATGGCAGACTGATGAAAATCACTAAATAACCATGAGTTAATGTTCTTCTTGATCTAGATTGAGTAATATAATGCCAGACCACCATTAGAAACCTGGAAGCACTGCAAGACGGCCGTTTCGTTCTGGTATGGGACTACTCATCAGTGGCAGTGCACATCCACGACTCCTGCACCCCACAGGATTCGAACCCAGGACCTTCGGTTACAAATAGAACTTAACAATCTTCACAACAACCGCACAATGTAATATAATGCCATCTATGGCCATAGCTACACATTCACCTGTCCCCTTCCATAGAATATTCACTAATAAGTCGTCTCTCAACTATCCAACGACTCATTTTGACTATTATGTACATTTTTTTCTTCTTTATTCAGATACGTCAATCGACAATTCAACGTAAATATGATCGTTATCATGCAGCTTATGAATTATTAAAAGAAAAAATTAAAATTTTCTATCAGAATCCAATTCTACGTAAATTTGTTAATGATGAAATGAAAAAACAACAAACAAATACATTTCACAAATTAGATTTCATTCAACAATCCACATGGCAGCCAATGTCTGAAGAACACATCAATACTATGCCCACCACATCAACAACTACATCAACAACACCAACAACAACACAACTTGGTATACTGGATGAAACAATGTTATCAGATGAACAAACTACTACTCCTCCTCCTCTTCCTGCTCCTCCATCAAGTGATATGATTATGTCTAGTGATTCAAGTGATGTATCAGATGTACCAATGAAAGAGACTTGTTCTTCTTGTTCGCCTTCTTCTTGTTTGCCTTCTTGTACTATCAATAATGTTCAGTCAACTACGTCTACAATAACAAATCCTTCGAATTGTGAAAAATCTGAAAATCCGAATAGTTATTATAATCAACAGAAAGATTTCAATGAAAGTAATTTAAAAGAATGGAAATGTGTTACACAGGTAGAGTGTGTGTGTGTGTTTGTGTGTGTATTTATCAGTCAGATAAGGGAATGTGAGTAGAGTTAGTTGTGGAGATAAGGGAGAGGTATGTGTGGGTGTAGGAAGGATTTGATTTTGACCAATTCGGTCTCGTGTGCTATTATGGGTATGAGGGGGCGGTTGTCATATCCCGGCTGCCCACAACGTGGAAGTTGTTTCTTGAGGGACTTGAAAAGGAAGATAGATTAGTGTTGGTCTTAGAGACCTGGGAGCGTGACCGCAGAGTCCAAGGGACAACTGCTTGAGACCGATCACGCACGGCCTTTTTATGAGAAGTGTTTTGAGTGTTAGCTCCGCTCTTGAAAGCCCTTCATGGGCACCCTTACCCAAGGAGACGGAAATCCGTGAGGTAAGGTAAGGTGTGACATTTTTAGGGTCGACCTTTTCTAACCCTTCCTTGCTTCCTTGTGAGAAGGCAGCATCGCTGCAGATGCTGGTTGTCCGAGGGAAACACCCTACTGCTGTCACACCCCTCTTCAGTCAGTCGGCAGTACGACTTCACCCTCAGACCTTGAGTAGCTGCTTTTAGTCTCATCGTTCCCCAATCGACCAGCCTGATATGGTAGAACCTTCAGGAAAATATGTTCCAGCCAATATAGCTCAGTTGGGTCATCACGGTAGTCAACTTCGACCACCACGTCAAGGTAGCTTCTACGGTCGGGGTGCATGTATTTATAGTATAAAAGATTAATGAACATACACATAAATATAATAGAAGTAATTCTCTGTTTCTGGAAACGATCCTATGAAGTAATTTATTGCATTACAAATAATTAACCTATCTGAATCTTTCATTTGATCAAGTGTATGTCAAAAAAAGAGATAATTAGAAGATTCAGAATGGTATATCTTACATCAGTTGTTACATAACGATTGAATGATTAAAATTACTGATTCTATAACCTTGTAGTGAAGGAGAACACAGGTGGGGCAACCAAAGTGTATTTAACGAAAATTACAGAGTTACTCAGTAAAATCGGAAAACCATATCCTAAATTGTTCATTTGCAAAATATCAGTTCATCATATCGAACTGGACTATTCCTGTTGCAAAACATCAATCCATTGTCACTATTCATGCGTTTCATACAAATTCCATTGTGTTCTAACTCTTCCTTTCTTGATCTTTACCCCATCTTCAGCTGCCAGACATTACATTGACACTCACGTCATATACTACTTATAAGTAGCTCGCACCACAGCACCACAACCTTACTAATTTTTATTGATAACCTTATCATCCATGAACAATTAACATCTATTTAACACATGTTTTGGAAAAATTGAAATATTATGTTATAAATGAAAGCGTTGTATGGTTTGTAAGCTTATATGAATTATAGCATATCTTTTGACTGTGAATATGTTACGCATGCACGTAAACACGTCAACTTGATATGCTTGAACTATTATGAGTTCAGCTAAGTCGGTAAACGAGAGCGAAGATCAATGATCCGGAGACACGACAGGCTACTACTACTCTAATCCAAGTGTCCCAAACCCCCATTGAGTAGTAGAAGAAGAAGAAGACTTGAAATGAAGTAGAACACGTATTCTACAAGTATCCAGAAAATTCGAGATCTGATTCCCAGAAGAGGATTAGGATTCCGGGTAGTAAATGCATATTTATACAGTTAGATGGAACAAGAAACAACATTGAAGTATGTGACATTGATAGTTCGGACTACAAAAAGGGATTGACCAATAGAATTAGACTTCCATAAATAATGCTTTCCGGATATTTGATGATTATCCTAACAGAATAGTTGATTGATTCATAATCCTCTCTTTCACTAATTTTTTTTACTTGTCATCTGGTTTTTGTTGTTTCCCAAGATTCAGGTTCACATTAGGACTATTAACACACACTAACCATCACTTCTTACGTAATCATATCAGGAAAACTACAAAGTTATTTAACACTAAGTAAAGATATTTATGTGAGTTCATAGTTTAAATCCAATATTGTGTATAATTAATAAACTCTGGTCATTTACATTCTGAGCAAATGCTTCAATATATATCAAAATATCTTTAAAATATGAGTATAAAGTTAGTTGATATGTTGTCCAACAAAGTTAATATTAATTACTTAAGTTGTACAACTTGAAATTAGGCTTTAACACAAAGGTTTGTATAGTTTTGTAAGCATTGTACAAACTATACTGTCTAAAAAAACAGTTCAACTTCACTTTTAATCATCTATATTCTCCAATTCACTTGAACTTACTTTTATGAAAGTGAATTTTGTTTAAATGTAATTTTTGCTCATTTATTTTGTTTTATTTCTTGATTTTTATCTCAGCCAAAAAATACTGAATTAAATGCTGCTATGTGTATTCTGAAAGTAAGTTAAATGACATCTATTTGATTTTATTTCACTAAATTTTCCAATATTGGCTGTAACCTACTTTGCATTACGGGGTTGTGAATATTGTTAAGTTACACATTTTTCAAACCATGAATCGATCAGTGTTATACCATCATTAGAAACCTGGAAGCACTGAATGACGGCCGTTTCGTCCTGGTATGGGACTCATCAGCAGTGCGCATCTACGATGGTTAGGCGTTCGCCTACATTACCGAAGGTCCTGGGTTCGAATCCTGCGGGGTCCAGGAGTTGTGAATGCGCAGTGCCTCTGATGAGTCCCATACTAGGACGAAACGGCCGTCATTCAGTGCTTACAGGTTTCTAATGCTGGTCTAACATTGATGGATTCATGGTTTCAAAAATGTGTAACTTAACAATCTTCACAACCCCGTAATGCGAATCACCTGTGCTCACTAGTGACTAGCTTTCTGAGGAATCTTCTCTGAGTTCTAGTGGGAAGATGTGACCAGTGAAGTTCAATTCTGTTCGGGTGTAGACAGTAACTACCGAAGACTGTGTATGAGGTTGCGCAACTACGTTAGATACCGGCTCAGTGGTCCGATGGTTGGGCGTTCGCCTACAATACTGTGTCCTACTTTATCATAGAAGTGTATTATTATTTCTCTTTTTTTCTCATAATCCATATATATATATTTCACATTACGGGGTTGTGAAGATTGTGAAGTTACACATTTGAAATCATGAATCGATCAATGTTAGGTTACCATTAGAAATCTGAAAGCACTGAATGGCCGTGTTCATCCACGACTTCTGCACCTAGTAGGACTCGAACCCAGGACCTTCAGTATTGTGCGCGAACGCCCTAACCGTTAGACCACTGAGCCGGTATTTAACGCTGTTTATATATATATATATATATATATATATATATATATTAATAATGAAATAATTATAATTGAAATTCTTACATCCTGGATGAAAAGGTCAAATCAATAAAAACTTTGAAAACCAATTTATCAGCCATATATTGTATGGGTTAAGAATCAGCAAAATATCCCTCAGAAAAGTCTTTAAAGACCCAGAAATGTTAGGAATTGTTTTATCTCATCAGCACTGAAAAGAATCTTCACAATAATATCTGAAAAATCTTGAATCACAAGCCACGATTCTGACGGTATATTCTCACAAACAGCTATTATATTGAGTATGGTTGTTGAAACTTCCAAAAATCTCAAAGTAATGAGTAACTCTGTAAATACCCTCATTTTTCTGTATTTAAACTAAACTTACAGTAAAGCATTTATCTCGTACTTCGCTTCTTTCATGTTGTGTTGTGATTTAATATGGGCTTACTAAGACTGAATAGGAATTTAGATCTTGAGTGAACTTACCAGACTTAGTAGTATGTTAGTCAGCAACAACGAAGACGTTTTTGCATGCATACATCAGTCCAAGTTGGTACTCGTATTCTGTTTGCGTATTTCAGAGACCCAGTATACATTAGTGCAAGATTCTGAAGTCCTAGTTAAAGACGTCTGTTGTTCTATTTTTGGTATAAAAACATCCGAATATCAAAAGCTCCAATATGTAGTTTAAAGAAAGGTTTCTTAATTCATATCGTTAACATTAAAGGTGCGAGGTGATAAGAGTATAAGAAGAAGGGTTAGTTGTGGAGACAAGAGACATATTGTAAGGATTGTGACTTATTTGGTCCCATCACTTCCCGGTTTCCCATACTGTGGAAGGTTGTTTCTTGAGGAACCTGAAAGGGAAGATAGATTAGTATTGGTCTTAGAGACCTGGGAGAGTGACCGCAAAACCTAAGGGACAACCGCTTAATGTCGGTTATACACGGCTTTTTTATAGGAAGTTTATAAGCTGTTACAGGCGTAAGTAAGTAAGTAAGTTGTAAGCTGTTAGCTGTTATTTTAACCCCTTCCTTCATTATGAAAAGGTAGCATCATTATAGATTCTGGCTGTCCGAGAGAAACACCTTACTACTGCCACATCTCTCTAAAGTCAGCAGTATGACTTCGCCCTTAGACCTTAAGTTCCTGCTTTCAGTCCTACCATTGTCCAATCAACCTGCCTAGCATGATAAGACCGAAAGAATCATGTGTTCTAGACTTTGTAGTTTGTTTAGATCATCACATTAGGCAAGCATAACTACAACGAATCTCAGTCTGGTAGTCATTGATCTTACACTTTTGTTCTGAGTTCGGGGCAAGTTACCATTGGGTCAATCTTCAAGCATAGAGTAGCAGTTTTCTCGTCACTATTGTGTACTGATTACTCAAAGGTCTTCTCGTGTCAGTGCAAAGACGTAACAGTAATGTCTTATATCTATCCTCAGAACTATCTATCTCTCAGGCTAATATATTCCTTTTTCAATACAATAATTCCATTTATTGTGATGCCGGTAGTCTCTTAAAAAAACTATGTTCAAACTAATTCACAAATATTGGTACATTCGTCGGATCATATCGTTTGTATCTTCTTGCAATTGGAACATTCAAATTGCAGATCTCTAGAATACACAACAAACATCAACAATTAAGTTTTCGACGTGACCAGTGGATTTCAACCCTGTCAACTGTAGGCACTAATTACCGAAGACAAATAGGTAAAGTCGCGCAAAATCTGTAGATTGACGAGAGTTAGACATTAAGACCGTTGAATGCCAGCTCAGTTTCCAGAGGTTAGACGTTCACGTGCAGGGCTGAAGGAGCTTGGATTCGAATCCTGCGTGGTGCATGTGTCGTGGATGCTCACTGCTGATGAGTCCCATACCAGGACGAAACGGCCATCCAGTGCTTCCAGATTTCTAATGCTGGTCTAACAATGATCGATTGGTGATTTCAACGTGCAAGAATATATTCATCAAACTTGCTACTTTTTTTAGATAACCCTTCCAAGAAGTTTTCAGATATCTTTTTATTGCAATAATGTAAAACATTTTTGTTCAGATTGTTAATACACTAAGCTAAATGCTTAACGAAAAGAATCAGAGACTTTAGCTGGATAACCGTATATTACTACTACATCACCAATAAATTGACAAGTAAAACATCAAATTTTGTAATTCTTAATTCATTTATCCTTATTTTTTTATGATTAAATAATCATGTCTAGATTACGCAATTCCTAGTTTAAACAAAGATGTTAGAGTATTGGTTTAAAAGTCAATTTGTAGACAAAAAAATCAATTTCTGATCGTTAACGCCTACTTTTATTTTATTTTTATATTTTAAAAGGCTGATGAAGATGAAATTCTCTCACGATTTGGTATTCAATCAGGTCCAATCAATAAATCGTTTTCTAATTCAACACGACGTCATACATTACAATATACTACATCATTATTCCGTAAACATGATCATCCTGATACTACTATTCTAACAAGTCCTGATAATAATAATAATAATGATGGTGATATTGATGTGAACAATCGTCAATCTGACACATCGACTACTACTACTACTACTACTAATACTACTAACAACGACAACAACAACAACAATATTGCTGTGACAAATTCCAATGTAAAAGTTGATAGTCACAATAATAATAATAATAGTAAAACCAATGAGAATAGTAACATTGTTAAACGTACCACAGTACGTCGTTTTCCACGTCAAATTACTCAACCCCATTCAAATCGATTACAATATAATCAAAATAATGCAGAGAATTCAGATCAAATGTTATTGGTAAGTTTTGATTTGTTTAGTAATATTACAGGGGGGGGAAATGATTTTAGGCTGGAAATAATATGTTTTACTGAGTTGGATGTATTTTGTAATAGAGAGTGTGTTTTTTAACAAACAAAGAAAATGTGTTTTTACACATTTGAAATCATCAATCAATCATTGTTAGACCACCATTAGAAACCTGGAAGCACTGGACGGCCAGTTCGTCCTGGTATGGCACTGACTCATCAGCAGTGCGCATCCACGACTCCTACTCCTCGCAGGATTCGAACCCGGGACCTTTGGCATTGTAGGCGAACGCCTTACCATCGGACCACTGGGCCGGCATCCAACGGTGAGTCCCATACCAGGACGAAACGGCCGTCCAGTGCTTCCAGGTTTCTAATGGTGTGCTAACAATGATTGATTGATGATTTCAAATGTGTAAAAATGCAAACCTCCAAAACTGTGCCCCAAAAAAGAAAATGTCAACAACACAGATAATAATAAGTGAACAATAGTGTTGTTTTCAATTAGGTCGTCATCAGGCTTTTTACTCTCTAATATATACATGCATATATTTCATATGAAAAAATGTTAAACCAATCAAGGCAATTTATTATGAGTCAATAATCACAATGAAATGAATTAGATTACATTACTACACATAATAGATTAAAGCACAAGTTGATACTATGGCAGACAGGCGTACTGATAGTAGTAAGAAAGATAAAATACGATAACAAAATTTTTTGTCAATAATTCAACATTGAAAATAGTGGATGAAACGTGGATAAATAGACTTTGAATAATTCTTTACAAAAAATTAAGACAATTACATGATCAGAAGTGAGCACATAATTAGATAGTGAAGAATGTAAATGGGAAGAGGCAGAGAATTACAAACAAATACAGGATTTGAAAATAAGGCTAATAATAACAAGATAAAGTCAAAAAAAAACTTTTTTGAAACGTTAGTTAAGTCATATCCGGCCATGGAATTGATAGGGGTGTCACGAATTTCTTCTGAACACATAAATTGGGGGTTGAATGTACGAATTCCTATGGCTTATACTATATGTAGGAGACGGGATAGAACTCCGTTTGGAAATATGATGGTTTTATCCGACAGATCACTGGAAACGATCCACATTTATCTACAATAAGGCCCCCGTCAACCAGATGCGCCAAGATAAAACAGCTTATTGTTTTTAACTTGCCCTTCATAAACCGTGATAGGAGTTGCCTGGTAGTAGTACGCCCGATATTACTGTTTCCACAGGAGCTGCTGAATTTGTGATTACACACAGAGGAGACCAACTCAGGTAATTTATCCTTCGTTTTGGTAGATATCGCTGGTTGGGTTGAGTAAAGTCTGATGATGATCCAATCGCAAACAACATTATTCGTTTATATGTGTTGTTCCAATTTATGATAGTTATGTTTTTCTATTAACTGATCATTAATAAATGTTTAATTCATGGTTATATGAAAATAAGTATTTGATAATTTATTAATAACGAGAGATAATCATTATCACATTTGAAATCATGAATCAACCAATGTTAGACCACCATTGGAAACCTGGAAGCACTGGACGGCCGTTTCGTCCTGGTATGGGACTCCTCAGTGGCAGTGCGCATCCACGACTCCTGCACCCCGCAGGATTCAAACCCAGGACCTATGGCCTTACGCGCGAACGCCTAACTTCTAGACCACTGAACCGGTATCTAACGGTGTTAACGTCTAACTTCGTTCAATTCACGGTGTTGCACAACCTCATTTATTGTCTTCGGTAGTTACTGTCTACACCTGAACAAGGTCAACTTCACTAGTTACGACTTCCCACTAGAACTCGGAGAAGATTCCTCACGAAGCTAGTCACTAGTGAGCACATGTAATTGCACTATGAGGTTGTGAAGATTGTTAAGTTACACAGTTGAAATATGTGTGATCATATAACTTTTCATTGTTTATTTGGTCATTTACTAGATTGAAACTGGAAAAATTCAAGTGATTATCTTTGAAAGGGGTAATAGTTTTATCACTAGTACTGACATTGAACAATTTAATGTAATACATTTTTGCTATCTTAGGCGTTCGCGCGCAAGACCGATGGTCCTAGGTTGGAATCCTGTGTGGTGCATGTGTCGTAGATGCGCACTGACACTGATTAATCCCATACCAGAACGAAATGGCCATCCAGTGCTTCCAGGTTTCTAATAGTGGTCTAACATTGATCGATTCATGATTTCAAATTTGTGACTTAACAATCTTCACAATGCCGTAATGCAATGTAATATTATGAAAGAATTTTATCTTCACTTAGAATTGAAATGTAATGTTTCATTTGTATATTGTAGTTGTATATCATTATAAAATTACAGATTTCTATAGACTATTCATTCTGTGTTGACAAATTTATGACCTAAATATTCCATTAACCTGAATGAATAATTTAATGGTAGGTTTAAAGAGATAAGTTTAATAATTGAAAATTGTTCAATTGAACTCCAAATATATATATAACAGGATGTTGAATTTGTGCGTGGAATCATTGAGAAAACAGTTCAATTATAAATATAAAGTATATAAATTTGATATTTTAGTTGAATTTGTAGGTATACATGAAATAATACAATAGAGTAAAGAAAAGTTAAAAAAAAAGTTCGATTGTATAACTTGAAAATTGATTACAGTTCAATACAATGTTGAAAATTTACATCATCAAGTTACTCACTATATATAACAACATCATTATTCACCTTTAGTTGAGATAGTCATTGAAAGGAATGAAGCATTGAGTAGTTATTTCATCATTTCCCTTTGTTTTCAATGATTTTTTAGTTAATAGTAGTTCAAAAGTATAGTTCCTTTTCTTAGTTTAGATTGTCACAAATTTAAAAAGAAAAAAAACCTTCACATTAAGATAATTTTCATAAACATGATAGAAAAAAATGAAAAAAAAAGATCTGAGTGAGCTACTTATAAGTAGTATATGACGTGAGTGTCAACGTAATGTCTGGCAGCAGAAGATGGGGGGAAGATCAAGAAAGGAAGAGTTAGAAAACAATGGAATTTGTATGAAACGCATGAATAGGGACAATGGGTTGATGTTTTGCATTAGGAACAGTCCAGTTCGATATGATGGACTGATATTTTGCAAATGAACAATTTACGATATGGTTTTCCTATTTTACTGAGTAACTCTGTAATTTTCGTTAAATACAATTCGGTTGCCCTCACCTGTGTTCTCGTTCACTACAGTACATGCTACTTCTTTTTGTCGGGGATGTTAGATCCCCAGAACTTACTTGATAAGAGTCCTAATTTAGGACTTTTTCTGTTTTCGTGCATCGGCTGATGAGTTGACCTTGAGATTACATTTCCCACTCCACAAAGTCCTTGACTGTTATTGCTGGTTGATGTATTATTTTAGTACTCTATTTTTGTGGCTCTCTCAAGGATGTTATTATGATGTACACGTAAACTCGATTTATGTGATTTTCAACCTCATATTTTCTGAGTGCTTGTAGAATACACTTCTTCATACATTTAGCAGGCCTGAAACAACGGATTAGAATATCCTATTGTGTCACTGCATCATTTGTCTTTGCGCTCGTTACCGAGTAACGTGAACTCGTAATAGTTTCAGGCATATCACCAACATTCTTGAAAGCATGTAAGGATTTTAATATTTACAGATTAATTGGTTCCATACACTGATATTCTGTAATTTGATGAGCAAACTAAGTCATTTAACTTCTATATCTGAAAGTATTGTAAGTAGTTAAATTGAACATGTACACTGAATTTATAAAATATCATAATTTTTACTTTTTTTGATCTCAAATACTGATTGACCTTAATATACATAAAGCTGTACTCATGATGTAAAAATTTAGAATATAATCTCTCTACTGGGAATCGACTAATTAATCACATTTTGATATAATCTGTGAAGAAAAAGCTTCACAACCGTATACTGAAATTTTTCATTTCCTCACTATCATCTAACTTCTTTGGGGAATTCTCAGAGTCCTAGTGAGAAGACGTGACCGATGATGTTCAACCGTGTTGGGTGTGAGGTAGAGTTACCCACTGAAGACAATGAATGACGGTCGCGTAAATTCGTTGACTGATTCAAGTTAAACACCAACATCCTTGGATGCCGGCTCAGTGGATTAGAGATTGAACACTCGCGCATAAAACTGAAAACTCTGAGTTTGCCTCCCGCTCATGGGTTCGTGGATGAGCTCTACTGATGAGTTCCATACTAGGACTAAACGTTCAATCCAATGCTTCTAGGCTTCCAGTGGTGGTCTAAGATTGATTAGTTCATGATTTCAATGAAACATTTTACTGACCCCAATCTCTTTAAATTTCATTGATCATATCTCAGTTCTTTGTCGCAACATTAACTACAGGTATGATAGTTTTGTGAGTACTAACAAGCACTTGGAGTTAAGATCAAGATATTACATTGATTATCTAACATAAGAAATGCTCTATTAGATATTATTCACCTAAACAACTTTTTTTAAAACAAAGTAACCTCTACTTTATCAATTGTTCATTCTTCTACTAGACTCGTTTAGATTGGATGCCACCGAATACATGGGAGACAAGTTTTTCAGACTATCGAAAATCACACCTACTTAAATCATCAAGACCATATTTGAATAAGATCAGCAAACAAAATGAACAAACATTAACATCACTTGAATTAGGACAAGAAGCATCTACCACGAGGTTGCCAAACAATCCAGGAGACACGACAATAACAACGACAAGTGATGTTGATGATGATGACGATGAAGAAGGAGTAGTGGGGCAAGATGATGTTTCAATTTTGATTGATCAAGAAAATATCATCTTACCAGATGAAATGTCACAGTCTATCCAATTAACCGAGAATATCTCATCTATGAATGATTATAACAATGTAACAACATTAGATAGACAAGATACAGTATCTGAGAAAAGTAGTGTGTTTCTGCTGACAACTGAATGCCCAAATCCAGGTGAAAATTAATTTCTGTCTCATTTTTCGCTTACTATCTATCGATCGATATATGTTTTTTCTATTATTTTTGATGACTGGTTTTTAATTGTTTAATAAAATAAATAATGCCAACTAATATGTTTAAAATGTTATAATTCAGAGTGTTTGGTTCCTAATATTAAGGAAGTATGTTGACTTGATATCTCGGTCGTTTGACTAGCCATTTAAGATACGTGTTTGTGTCATTAAACTGTTCTGTGACTTTACTTGATAATCTCTTGATCTTTTTAGATGAACATCTAATAATATGAAGGTCTTAAGTCTTAGTGCCACTCGGACTACAAATACACTCTTCTAACGAATACGTGTTGTGAACAGATTCCACTAGAATTTACTAACTTACTTACTTACTTACTTTCGCCTGTTACCCTCACATCAGTTTTCTCCAACCAACTCTGTCCAATTTATGTTCATTCTACTCATGTCTTTCTCTATTTCTCGGCGTAATGTGTTCTTTGGCCTTCCTCTTTTCCTTTGACCTTGAGGGTTCCAAATAAGGACTTGTCTCGTGACGCAGTTAGGTGCTTTTCACAGTGTGTGTCCTATCCACTTCCACCGCTTCTTCCTGATTTCCACCTCCACTGGAATCTGATTTGTTTTCTCCCATAGTACGTTGTTGCTGATCTCGTGTCTGGCCAACGAATCCGAAGTATTTTGCGTAGACAACACTAGAATTTAAGCAGTGCCTAAAGTTTTCGAAACTGTTTTATGAGACTTATTAAAAGTGTCCTTGTCTATCACTTCTTTGTTTGAATACAAAGCCTTTAGGTTAATTATCACCTACTTAAATAAGTTGTGTATAAGATGAAAGCATAATATAGGTTAATCATTAAGACATTTGTAAATCGACTGATGAAGATGCGACAAAAGGAATTGTAATCTCGTCTGACCGTAAGGCAAAGGAGTTCAATTGTCAAATTCTACTCTCTGCATCTAACTGCATAAAAATCAAAGCTGTGACTTACTACTGACATTGAAATTTGGATACCTTCTACGTTTTCAAACTCTCTATGCTTCTCTATCATTGCAGTACACATTAATAGAAACAACAATTTTATTAGATTTAAGGTTACTTAATTACTTACGCCTGCTACCCCCAACGGAGCATAGGCCGCCTACCAGTTTTCGCCAACCAACTCTGTCCTCCTGGGCTTCCCTTTCCAGTTCTGTCCAATGTTTGTTCATTCCTCTCATATCTTTCTCTATTTCTCGGCGTATTATGTTCTTTGGCCTTCCTATTTTCGTTTTTCTTTGAGGGTTCCATGTGAGGGCTTGTCTCATGACGCAGTTCGGTGCTTTTCGTAGTGTGTGTCCTATCCACTTCCACCGCTTCTTTCTGATTTCCTCCTCAACTGGAATCTGGTTTGTTCTCTCCCAAAGTACGTTGTTGGTGATGGTGTCTGGCCAACGAATCCGAAGTATTTTGTGTAGACAACTGTTCATAAACACTTGTATCTTCTGGATGATGCCTTTCGTAGTTCTCCAAGTTTCCACTCCATACAGTAGAACTGTATTGACATTTGTATTTTTTTGTTTTTTTGTAAATAATGCACCAATACTTCTATCTATTTTTATTGTGAATTTTTTTGTTCCTATTTCCATCCAGTTGAATCCCCACTTGAAATGGTGACATTGGAAGATCAACAGATTCCTTCTGCACAACAAAATTCCGTTGATATGATGATGAATACAGAGTCTACTACTGAAAAAATAGATGTAAGTGTTCATTGTATTGTTTGTTGTATTGGGAAATTACAACAAAAACATGCATTTACAGGCTTGCCTCGATAAACTGAACGATTTTCATTTTAAAAAAATTCCCTAAAGCACAATATTTATTTGCATTACGGGGTTGTTGTGAAGATTGTTCAGTTACACATTTTTTTGAAACCATGAATTGATCAATGTTAGACTGTCACCATTAGAGAAACCTGGAAGAAGCACTGGACGGCCGTTTCGTCCTGGTATGGGACTCATCAGTGGCAGTGCGCATCCACGACTCCTGCAGCCCTCAGGATTCGAACCCAGGACCTTCGGTATTTTAGGCGAACGCTTGGTTTCAAAAACGTGTAACAATATTTATTTGTTATAACCAAACAAGATTTTGATGAAACTCATTATGTGAAACGATTTGGCAATGTAGACTGACAATTACTGAGAAAAACTGAATGCCTGATAGCTTTTTTTTCAATCCTACATCGAAACTATGCAATATTATACTTTATCCATGAGTGATAATTTAATCAGAAAGAACATCATGTTGAACTAGTCTTGTTCACAATAATTAAACTTGAAACATAAAAAAACCTACTACACTGTCAAAATAATCATGAAGAAGAACTCCTTAGTCATTGTGACATAGTCTTAATTATCAAAAGTACACTGGTTTAACATTAATCATCAAATATCATTTAGAACAAAACAGATAATGCAGAAACATTGTGATTATAGCTTTCTTTTTTATTGAAATCGCGCAAAATGCCTAGATCAATCAGAGTTAGACATTAACCCCGTGGGATGCCGGCCCAGTGGTCCGATGGTAAGGCGTTCGCCTAAAATGCCAAAGGTCCCAGGTTCGAATCCTGCTAGGAGCAGGAGTCGTGGATGCGCACTGCTACTGATGAGTCCCATACCAGGACGAAACGGCCGTCTCTCAGTGCTTCTTGCAGGTTTCTAATGGTGGTCTAACAATGATTGATTGATGATTTCAAATGTGTAAAAACGCAAACCTCCAAAACTGTGCCCCAAAAGAAATCAAAAACAACACTGTATCATCTATGTATATAGAAAAATACTGTAAACGCTGCTAAACTATTCCACGTAGGCCTAAACGTTGCTCAATTTGATGAATACATCACATCCCATTGCATTTACCAATTTACATGTTTGTATGGACACATATACATAGGGAGGAGTAATCGAACTTTGCAATCAAAGGTTATGGAACTTCACATACCTTAGTGACTTCAAAATCAGTTAACGTCAGATGAGCCGATTAGCGTTGGAAATAGAAAACCATGTTCATCGATCGCAAAACACATCATTGAGACAGGGCATAGGATGGACCATCAAGACAGCCTTCAAAACATTGTATAGATGTTGAAGGACGAATTTCGAGGTTTATATGGACGTCTTGGCTATTCGAAAATTAAAACCGTCCTTATGTGTACAGAAACAATTTGTTGTAACCTTCAATTTACCCTGGTAATCTTTAAGCCCAGGGGGTAATGTGACAATTTTCCTACGCTTTCTTATTCTTTCCAAATAACGTGAATTTTCTCTCTCCTTTATTTACAATTATCACCTTATGTCTATTTGAACTTTTATTTATTTTGGGGCAGAGTTTTGGAGATTTGCGTTTTTACACATTTGAAATCATCAATCAATCATTGTTAGAACACCATTAGAAACCTGGAAGGGCTGGACGGCCGTTTCGTCCTGGTATGGGACTCATCAGTGGCAGTGCGCATCCACGACTCCTGCTCCTCGAAGGATTCGAACACGGGACCTTCGGCATTGTAGAAGAACGCCTCACACATTTGACCTTTTATTAATCGTCATACATAAAATGCCTTGACAAGTGTGGTACGTGTGTGACCAGATTGTTCGAAATATGTTTAGCGCACAAATACATCACACTATTTTTCAGATCAATTTACTTCTTCTCACTGTTCTATCAAAATTTATTAAAAAGGGACTAATTGTTTTAAATACTGTGAGGTTTTAATTCTTTTTCACCCTTTCACATTCATCCGTATCGAATGTTTGAATTTTTTTACCTTTTTAGAATGTGACTAGAATTATGATTGAAAAATCCAGCTTACATGAAGATCCATGTTGGTCGAATGTTCGTATTTCAGGTGGAATGATGGATGAAGATGAAGATGACAATTCATGTAATCCAACAGCTGGAGTACTGCGTACACTACTTCCACAACTTAATTTACCAGCGAATTTACCAGCTATGATTCATCAACCAGTAGCTTACTTCACTGTGAAAGATCCAAATTTACTTGCACCACCGGAGTTTATGACACCACGTATGTCTCACAATGAATTATTTGATTTAAATAGGTATTCTTTATTCCCAGCTACTCAGCTTCATAGAGTTAGAGACTTAACGACTTAGCTATTCGACCAGCAACTAACCTCTAGTATCATTGAGATAAACTTACAATTTATTTACCACTGAATAGTGACCAATGTCTTGTGGGTCGAGTTCTTCCTGGTCTCGATAAAATTCTGTCAACCAAGTTTCAATTTAGACAATTGTCCAAGTGACATGATATCGCTTACCACTGCGTTAGGATACAAGATATCAGTCTTTTGTATTCTTTAGAATAAAAAAAAACTTAGTATTGCAGTAAGTCTTGTTATTGTTACACTGCAAACCTTTCAGAGAGTTGTTAATCTTCCAAGTTTATCTATCGATAAAATTCCCTTGACGTTTTACATTTATTCAAAAAGAATCAGATTGAAATAGAGAATATTTATAGCTTAGATTGAAACTGTCAAAGATGTTGTGCTTGTTGAGCTGGAGGGTTCAGTTCTGAAAAAATATATACCTTTTTTGAAGAAACCATTATTATTTACTTGAATTCAGTCAGTCAGTCAGTCAGTCAGTTGCAACGTAGAACTTCGTATATGTGTACATAAGTTCATGTTGCCATACCACATTAGCACACAGACGCAAATGTCAAATCAAATCCCATAGTGATAAAGATAGTAGAGGTATTATTGGTAATGAAGAAGACTCAGGGTTCGAAGATATTATTCAACAAGTATAATTCAGTGAAATAAAGTTAGAAAGACAAAGGTAGAGGTGCTGATGATTCCAGAAGATTAGGATTTGAGAGAGCTCGAAGAATGGATGCACTTGTGCTATTGCAAACGATTTTGAGCCATGTCGTTCAAGGTCTCTAACCATCGATTATTATCATCTCGCGGACCCCAACCAGGTAGTCTACATCTACCAACATGACTCAGTCCACTTGTCACTGACTTCATGGATTTCTGCCATGTTTTGGTTTGGCCGCCCCTAGCTTTCTTCCAATCTACTCCTACACTGCAAAACATAGCTCATCGGGGCAGTCGGTGGTTAGGCATTCGTAACACATGTGCCAACCACCTCAACTGATGAAGCTTCACTACTTCATCTATTAATCTGCCATCCTTAAGTAGTACTCGTTTCCTAACGACAGCATTGCTTACTTGGTTGTCTCAAGATATACGAGTAATGCTTCTTAAACATATACGATCGAAAATTAGTAACCTACGAACATCTACTCTTAACGGTCATGTTTCGCATCCATATAGGAGAACGGAGTGAACTGCTGCGCAGTACACTGGTCCTTTAGTTAGCAAACGGATATCTCGCCTACACCATAAGTGACGCAGGTTGGCAAAAGCCAATCGAGCCTTCTGTATCCGAGCTTAGATTTCGTCAGTCACCAGGCCATCGGCACTGATGAGACTCCCAAGATAAGTGAAGTGATCAACACGCTCGACTACTTCACTCCCTATCACTAGTTCAGGTGCCGATGTAACCCAGTCTTGAATCAACATTTTGCATTTCGAGGGTGAGAACCGCATCCCGGACATGCTTGCATTGTTGCTTAGGGTAATCAGAAGACTCTGAATTTTGTCAGCGTCTTCACCAAGTAGGACTATGTCATCGGCATATTCTAAGTCAGTAAGCAACTTTCCTGGTAGAAGGTTACTTGAATTAATCGCACCAACAAATAAATAAGTAGCGCGCATACTTTTTGTTCTCTTAAAATTCTAACATGAATTCATTTGTTTCACTTCAACTGAATACCTTCTCTCATAAATTTTTGTTTTCATTGTCTCTTGCTTATGTGTTTTGCAGATAGTTCTAGTTTCCCTCGTAGATCATCAGATGGTGCAGCTGATTTACAACCACTACATCGACCTGTTATCACAGTTGGTGGTAGTTATCCAGAACAAGCGAATTATCGTAAAGAGGTACTTACATTGAAGTGATTGTGATTAATACTTTCTACTATCGAAAACATTGTACTATTTAACTGACTTATACTACATTGTAAATATATATATTAACAAGTTCATAGTCATCTAAACCTGATTAATTACTCTAACTATTAATATGCTTTCGACTTTTTCTATTCTTAAAATAAGACTGATCATTTAATTGGATTCATTCATTTAATACAAGATAAATTACATTAAAAAATTAAGTTCCTGTAAAATATTGATTTTTCATCAAGTTATGAAATGACAGAAATTTAATTGAAACACTACCGTCAAACATTATTTTATGTGTAACCATAAATCTATCAATATTAGACCACCATTAGAAACCTGGAAGCACTGGACGACCGTTTCGTCCTGGTATGGGACTCCTCAGTGATAATGCGCATCCGAACAGGTTTGAACTTCACTGGTCTAACATTGATCGATTCACGGTTACAAATAAAACTTAACAATCTTCACAACAACCCGGTCATGCAATTACATGTGTCCACTAGTGACGAGCTTGGTGAGGAATCTTCTCCGAGTTCTAGTGGGAAGTCGTGACCAGTGAAGTTCAAACCTGTTCGGATTTATACAGGGTATGAGGTTGCGCAACTCCGTGAATTTGATCAAGTTAGACATTAACACCATTAGATACCGGCTCAGTGGTCTAACGGTTAGGGCGTTTCCTCACAATACCGAAGGTACTGTATTCGAACCTTGCGGGGTGCAGGAGTCGTGGTTTCGCAGTGCTGAGGAGTCCCATACCAGGACGAAACGGCCGTCTTTTAGTGCTTCCAGGTTTCTAATGGTGTGGTCTAACATTGATCGATTCATGGTTACAAATAAAACTTGACAATCTTCACAACAACCCTGCAATGCATTATTTTATGATTATTCACAAATGTCGGCTGAATCGAAAAAAAAGTTTTAATTCGGTCGTGCAACTGGTTCATCAGATTTATTGCAAAGTAGTTATACATTTTACTGTTGAAAAAATTGAGGAAAGAACGAACAAAAAGGCAGAAGTCAGCATCAGACGAATAAGAGCAGAGAAAGACAAGACACATGCTGAATATACAGAAGCAAACAAGCAAGTAAGGAGGAGCATCAGAGCTGACAAACGAAAATATGTGGAAGATTTAGCAACGACGGCGGTAAAGGCTGCAAGAGACGGAAACATGAAACAGTGGTACGATATAATAAGTGTAATGAAGGAGAACACTGGTGAGGGTAACCGAATTGTATTTAACGAAAATTCTAGAGTTACTCAGTAAAATAGGAAAACCATATCGTAAATCGTTAATTTGCAAATCTTCAATCAATCATCAATCCATTCTGTGACATTTCACTTATTCATGCATTTCATACAAATTCCATTGTGTTCCCACTCTTCCTTTCTTGATCTTCCCCCCATCTTCTGCTGCCAGACATTACGTTTACAATCGCGTCATATACTACTTATAAGTAGCGCGCACCATATAAGGAGGCTCGCTAGAAACTATCGTAAACCAGAACGACCAGTGAAAGGTAAGGAAGGCAGAGTAATCAGCAACACTGAAGAACAGAGAACTAGCTGTTTAAAGCACTTTAAGGAACTCTTGAATCGACAAGCTCCACTCAACCCACCTAAAATCGAAGCAGCATCCAGGGAACACCCAGTCGATTCTGGCCCACCAACAATTGAAGAGATCAGCATGACCATCAGATCAACCAACAGTGGCAAAGCAGCGCGGCCAGAAAACATTCCAGCAGAGGCACTGAGAGCAGACGTGGCAGCAACTGTGAAGATACTCTGCATTCTATACAACAAGATTCGTGAGTGAGAACAAGTATCAACACAATTGAGAAAAGGATACCTGATCAAAATACCAAAGAAAGGCGATCTCAGCAAGTGTGAGATCCATAGTGGCGTCACTCTTCTCTCCGTAACAGGCAAAGTCTTCACAAGGGTATCGTTAAGCAGAATGAAGGATGTCACAGATCAACAGGCTGGACATGCATTGTAGGACCTAGAAACCTTTACATATCTGGACAGCATCGTTGACGAACAACATGGATCTGATGCAGATGTGAGGGCGCGGATTGGCGATGAACGGCTGCATTTCCACAACTGAACAACATCTGAAACTCTAAAAAACTATCAACCAACACCAAAGTCAGAATTTTTAATACAAAATGTCAAGGCAGTTCTAATATTTGTGGTGGAAACTTATAGAACTACGAAAGTCACCATCCAGAAGATTCGAGTATTGATTAATAGTGATCGGATACTTCGGATTCGTTGGCCAGACACTGTCAGCAACAACCTACTATGGGAGAGAACAAACGCGATTCCGGTGGTAGAGGAAATCAAGAAGAACCGATGGAAGTGAATAGGTCACTCACAACGGAAAGCACCCACCTACGTCAGAAGACATACCTTCTCTTGGAACCCTCAAGGTAAAAAGGAAAAGAGGAAAGCCAAAGAACACAACACTCTGAGAAATAGAGAATGATTTGAGAAGAATGAAAAAACGTTAGAAAGAACTTTTAAGGGAAGCCCAGTACAAACTAGGCTGGAAAATACTCGTCGGCGACTTATGCTTCATTGGGTGTAATGGCCGTATGTAAGTAAGTAAGTAAGTAAATAACTTATATGTGACAATTCGTACTGATACACAATTAATTAAACAAGACTATTATTTTGTCTGTTTGACTCTTTATAAAATTGACTTCAGTGTACTTTAATTCAAATAGAGAAATAAGAAGACATATTTTTTGAGATAGTAACATTTTGTGCTTTCTCGTCAGTCACATACAAGCAACATGTTATTTGTGTGTAAATACAGTTTTGAACAGTTTTGGTAAATTCACCATACCATAAGCTAGCAAAGTGGCTGAAAGAAATTTTGGATCCTGTTTGTAAACAACTGTCGACACATACTATCCTCGATTCCTTTGAACTTCTCCCAACCTTGGAACACTTGAATATTTCTAATAGTCGGATGTGTTCTTTCGATGAAAACTCTTTATTCACAAATGTACCTCTCGAAGAAACTGTGGAATTTATTTGTGACTTCATAACTTCACACAACATAAGAATACCCATTCCGACTACCTATCTTCGAGATCTAATTTTGCTGTGCACAAAGAATATAAAATTCTATTTCCAAGGTAAAGCATATACACAAATCTATGGAGTGGCTATGGGAAGCCCTCTCGGACCTGTTTTAGCAAACACATTCATGGGAATGATAGACAGGGAAGTGAGTCACTTCATCGATTGTATTACACTTTACAAACGATATGTCGACGATATTCTTGTCATATTACCACATTCTACAGATATTAATGAAATCAATGATTTATTTAATACGATTCACCCGAATCTGAAGGTCACTTATGAGGAAGAAAAGAATAATGAACTAGCTTTCCTCGATATCCTGCTCCATCGCCGTCCAGACGGATCAATCAGACGAAAAATACACCACAAACCCACCTGGTCGGGACAGTACCTCCACTTCACTAGCTTCTGCCCCATACAATATAAACGTTCTGTTGTCGAAACTTTATTCGCTCAAGCAAGTAGAATCTGCACTGCTGATACATTGAACGACGAATTCAAGCTTATTACTGAGACACTTAAATCAAACGGATATCCCGAAACGTTCATTGGTCATCAGAACACAACTATGACGAAGCTGATAGCAACTGATGTGCCCAATAAATCAGTGTACCTACAGTTACCTTTCAAGGGTGATCACTGCATGAAAATTACAACCAAACAGACTGCAGCTGCAATAAAAAAGACCTTCAATGCAGCTAATCTGAGGCTTATCACAACAACCCAATCGATCTCAGTTACCCCAATCAAGTCTCCAAGACCGATTCAGTCCAAATCCCACTATATTTACCAATTCACATGTAACTGCTGAGAAAGTTACTTGGGTAGGACAGATAGCCAATTGGAAGACAGGATAGGCGAACATATTCCAAAAATGGTTAATCAAATCCATGATTCATCAACCTAGCCCGTCATCTCAAAATCGATCAAGAAACCGAGCCTCGTCCATTTCAAAACATCTAATGATGAGTGATCATCAAATTGACCCAAAATCAGCCTTTATAGTGTTGTGACATGTCATCAAAACCCACACACACACTGAAACTACTCGGAAGCTATCTTGATTGGTCGTAAAAGTCCAACTTTATGTGTTCAAAAACAACTGTATGTTGACCTTTGTTCACCATGGTTCTAGTGAGTGAGTGAATGTCATGCTAAATAAGAAATTTTGACCTTATCTTCAAAACTGCTGTATTTACACAAATAACATGTTGCTTGTATGTGACTGACGAGCAATGGTACACGAAATGGTACTATCTCACAAAATATGTCTTCTTATTTCTCTATTCAAATTTATCAAAGGGAACCACTGTTGTACATTAATTCATCTTATTTTATGTAAAATCAATAAGATTTGAATAACCAGTTTCTATCGTATAGGTTATTACATGAACAAACACTTTTTCAGTCTAGTAAGTTTTAAAAAATATATCATCCATAAGTGTTAATCTCTTTTATGCATTGAAATACTTTGAAATAGTAGAATATATTTTTTTCAATTATCTATTATCTATAGAATTCTGGTACTGAAAGTGAAAATTCATCTTTAGCAGTAATCAACAATGTACACTCTTCAAAACTAGATCCTATAGAAGGAACTACCGTATCTGTGACCTCAACCAATTTATCTGATCGAATTCATAAATCTCGACAAAAATATAATGATTATGAGCAATCAAAACACATGCCCTCTTCATCTCATCATCAACAACAACACCCACAACACCAACAACAACAACTACCTGAATTTCATAATCGATCATCATCAGTTGCTCAACACTCAACTTATCATCATTCTCAAAGAAACCGTCTTCCATTAGGTATATGGTGGAAACTTACAAGTAAAAAATTTAATCAACCTAGTGATTTTAAAAGTGAATCATGGGATGCCCAATTCGCTCGACATCAAAAACGTTTTAGTCTACCGGTGAATAGTGTACCTGTAAGACAACCACCATCAGGTGAGTGAATTTGAAAAGAAGTGAATTTTCGTTTTTTTTTAATTGATTTAATAAATAATTTCACATTAGAATTATTCTACTGATTTGATTAAGAAAAGTAATTTTAAATGCATCAAGCTATTGAGTTATTGAGATGGTGGAGAAAATTTGTACCTCAGGTGGCTGATTGTGGTGATGGGGTTTTTTTCTCTGAGCTGGTTGTTTTGGTTGTGGAGCTTTCATTGTTCTTCTGTTGAACAATATTATCAATAGCACAAACTTCAGATAGAAGAAGTGAAGCATTCGAATTTCTCCACGTTTGACCTGTTCTGCTTGTTCTGCTAACCTCGATCTTGATTGGTTGTTGTTAACCTTTAACCTGTCGTTGTTGGCACGTTTGTTTTGATTGCATCCCCCTTTTGATCTGTTTCTTGATCCTGTCATCTATGATTTTCCTGATTGGTTGATAAATTGAGTCAATGTCGATGTGTTTGTTAATTGCTGATTGACCTGAGTGCCAAGCTTCTAAAAATTCTCTAGTCTTCTTTGTGCTCCCTCTATCTAGTATTTCTACATCGTCCCAAGCGAAGCGTTGTTTTGTCGTTTGACTGCTAATTGATGTTCAGGTAAACGGAGCTGAAGAGGTCGTCCACTTTGTCCTATGTAGTGTTTTTCACAGTTTGAGCAATTTATTTTGTAGATGATATTTGGTTTTTCTACCTTTATCCTTTTGTCTTTTGGTCTACATAGGATTGATTGAAGTGATTCTGTTGGTTTGTGTGCCACACCTATTCCAAATGGTTTCAGTAGTCGTGCTGTATGCTCCGACATGTCTTTGATGTATGGCAGGATGATGCGTTTATTGGTTCCTGTGCTTGATTTCGTTTCTGATGATGGTTTCGGTTGATGTTTTTTGATGAAGTTGCGTGGATAGCCGTTCTTTTGCAAGATAGTCATCAGGTGTTTTTCCTCGTTTTTTAATGCTTCGTATGTGCTGCAGTGTGTCTTCGCTCTCTTGAACAAAGTTTGTATGCAGTTGATCTTGTGGGTTCTTGGGTTGTTGCTGTCGTAGTCGAGAATTACGTCTGTGCGGGTCGGCTTCCGAAATACTTGAGTTTCTAGTTTTCCTGTGTTAGTTCTGGTGATTAGTACATCCAGGAATGATAGGCTGTTGTTTGGTTCTTTTTCTATCGTGAATTTGATGTCATCAAAGACTTTGTTGATCCGATTGTAGATGTTCTCCAGCTCATTCCTTTTGATAATGACGAATGTGTCGTCTACATAACGAACCCACATTTTTGGCTTGATCACTGGTAAAATCGACGCTTCTAGTCTCTGCATTACAGCTTCCGCGATGAGTCCTGATATTGGTGATCCCATTGGTGTTCCTTTTATTTGTTCGTAGACTCTGTTGTTGAATTGAAGATACGTTATTAAGCATAGGTCGACGAGTTCAAGCAGACTTTGACGCTGAAGTTTTGTATATTTGTATAGATTTGTGTCGTTGATGAGGAGCAGAGAAAGAGTTTCGTTAGCTAAGCTTGGCTCTATTGAGGTAAATAAGGCTGTTGAAAGAACTACATACAGAGGAAGGAAAAGCTGACATCATTCACATATGTTTAGTTATCTTAAAGTATACTACATAGAGACAGTCATGATTTTCCACGGATCAGAACAAAGTAAAAGTGTAAATTAGGCTAGAAACTACATATTACTAAAATGATTTAAGTAGCTTAATAGTTTAAGGAAATAAATTATGAATTTCATGCGAATTGACAGTGTAAACCTAAGACGTCTTTAATCATACATTGTAAAGTAATTCAAAACGGATAGGTTTATTTATTTTTTTTGTTACAAAAATTCATTAAATAAATTTTAAATTCTTCTAAACACTGATTACACTACTACAACAAATACAATTTTAGGCTCTGTCAAAACTGAACTACAATGTAAATGTCATCAACCGTTAACTTCAGAATTATTACAAGAAATTCAACAAAAACTACAAGATACTTCATGGATTGAAAAACTCACAGCTACTGGAATTACACATGTACAATGTACAACTGATGAAAATAAATTCAATTTTGAACAGATACCAGAAATGTATCGTCGTGGAAGTGAAGCTAGTCAAATGTCAGCATGGGAATATCGTTTAAGACAAGTAAGTTATTTTCACTTGAAAAAATTTGTTTACAAAGTAAATCATTTACTTTCAATCTATTTAATTCTTTATAATAATAGATACGTACAAGATTTTTTCGGAAACCAAACATAGATCAATGAAGAAAGATGACCTACATTTTAGTCTGATGACTCAACTAATCTGTGCCCCTGTCAACTTGTCACTTCAGTTTAGTAGTGAATTATCCGGGTTTTTTAAAAACGAAAATAAACATTTCACCTGAAAATTTAAAAAAATATGAAAAGCCTCTAATTGCATTGAAGCTTATCAATTAGCTTCCATTCGTATCCTAGGTAAGGATGGCAAGTCAACAGATGAAGTATTGAAACTTGATCAGTTGTGGTGGTTGCCTCGTCGAGCTATACTTTGGCGGTGTAGGAGTAGGTTGGAAGAAAGCTAGGCGCGGCCAGACTGAAACATGGCACAAATCCTTGAAGTCAATGACAAGTGGACTGAGTCATGTCGGTATGTGTTGACTACCTACCTGGTTGGGGCCCACAAGATGATAGTAATCGATGGTTTGGGGACCTTGAATGACATGGATCAAAATCGTTTGCAATGGCTCAGGTGCATTCATACTTTGTTCTCTCAAAGCATAAGCTTCTGAATTTCTCATCACGTTTATCTTTTTCTTTTAATTTTATTTCAGCAGATTCTACTTCTTGAATGATATCGTCGAATCTTAATCTCTCCGATTACTGCTAATACTTCTACTACCTCTACTACTATGAGATTTGAAGTGACAATGCCATCTCTGTCCTAATGTGGTATGGCAACTTGAACTGATATTCGTACTGTTAGGATAGTCATCCAATATCCTAAGAGAATTACTGGTCGATTCCTATTGGTTAATTCCTACTGGTCAATTTTATGATCGTCCTAGATATCAATGTCACGTGCTCCGATGTTATTTTTTATTGGTTGTCCTGACTATCAATGTCACTTCAAATGTTGCTTCCTATTGGTCGTCTTAACTGCCAATGCCACAGACTTCGATGCTGTTTCCTATTCGATCAAAATATATAAATACTGATTATCTGTAACATTTTATGACCACGACCAGGACCCGGTTCCGGATCGCTGGTCCGGGATCCTGATTCTCTTCTGGACTCGGAATTCGTACTTTCTGAATGCTTGTAGAATACATGTTCTGCTTCATATCAAATCTTCTAATTTTTACTCATTATAGGCGTTAAGGTAATCGGATTTGTGTAGCATGTCGTGTCACCGGATCCTTGATACTCGTTCTCGTTTTCCGACTAGGTAAACGCGTACAAGCATATCAAGTTGACGTGTTTACGTGAAGGCGTAACAACTGATTGATTGATTGATTGATTGATATCAATATTTTTTCTCGTATCAAGTGAATATTCTATCTAGAAACGATCTAGCCACGATTTATTTTATTTCGCTAAGTTCTCATATATTCATGTTAATTGTTAAATTGCTCACTATATATATATATATTTTAAAATACGGTAAGATATATACATATATTTAAACTATACTCTATTTAGTATAATGAACTATATGATCCAGCTGAACATCCTCGAACTACTTCTAGTTTTCATCAACCAGTTCCTGAATTAGAACCAGATGAAGAAGAAGAAGAAGAAGGAGAACGAGGAGATGGAAGACGAGTAGGACAGGAGGAGGAGAAATTAAATTCCAATTATCCATTCTTTACTTTTTCATATAATAATGATAATTTTGTTACAAATACGAGAGTAACAACAACCACAACAACAACAACTGAATATCGAAATATTGTAAGTCCAGTGAATCAAACAATAGATACAAGTGCAATCACTACAACAAGCACATGTACTTCTCAGTGTGTACCGTATGAATCAAGTTCTGTTAAAGATGATCATCGTTTAAACACGCTTTCAAATGAATCATACGATTCAAATACTATTCCAATTAGTCAATCAGATATTGAATTGACAGATTTGAAAACTGAACTACACAAGGTCAGTAAATCTATGATTAGAATGTTATGTTTTATTCTATTGTTTCGGTTTTTGGTTTTAAAGTTCTAACTCTGATTTGGTTACAAACTCATTGCTAACATTATAAATTAATTTTTTTGTTTCATATAAGCGATTTTATCAATGTAAACATGTGTTTACGTGAAACTAAAAATAACATCTCAATATGTTAGGTTCGTCAATAGGTACGCTTAAAGCTCTTCCGAGTTCACCTTAGTCGATAAACTAGAAAGAGACAATGAACCAGAGTCCAGGTAGGCTACCCTGATATGAAACGGTTTAAGAGAAGACTTAATGTGGCGTAGAAAGTATATTCTATAAACACCGAACAAGCACAATGCAATCAAGTACACAAATCTCGTTTATTTATACATCACAGAAAAACGTCCTTCGGACAGTCACAAAAATAGCACACTAATAAAATACACACCAGCCAATCACAGTCAAGGATTTTCCTTGTGGGAAGTGAAATCTCAAGGTCAACTGATAGGTCCATGCTGGCAAACATGAAATCCAAACTAAAGCATTTATCAAGCACGTTCTGGGGGATCTAACGTCCTCAACTGGAAAACTCCATTTAGAATGATTCTATTTCACAAATGTAATTACAATGAACATGAAACTAAGTTATCATATGATAATTCAGTGAGGTTGAGTTGTTTTCAAAACATTTAACAACTCCCATGTAATCATTTAAGGTTGAATTTACTTTAAATATCTGACAATACAGTTCAATATGCGAGAAAGAATAGTATCGTTAGTTGTGTTTCGATATTAGCTAGATGCACTAATCAATAAAAACATCACTATCGGTTGCTCACCAGATTTTTGAACATGTATGCAACTTTCTTCTGATATATGTACAGAAGAAAGTTTGATTTGTTTGTGTAAAGGAAGATGGTGGACACTAATGTGTTGAGTTAACTTAGATGTCTCAATCTTTGGACAAATTAATCAATCCACTCTTCTCAAGTAATTATTCACACTGTTCTCTTGACCTTTTCAATTGTATGTATGTAGACAAGTATAAATTTGTTAGATCCTCATTTTAGTACGGTTGATCGTCGATCAAATTTATGTAAATATATATATATATATATATATATATATATATATATATATATATATATATATATATATAACAAAGAAATTCATTTAGATTTAATTATATTTTTATTCAGTAAATTTAAGATTAAACTTTTGAATATGTCGGCCTCTGGAACTGTAAAGCTTCAATTTGGAACCTTTTTTTTTGAAGAACTCTTTCAATTAAAATAAACTTTCGATGAATCGATGAATATCGTGTTAAGTGAATGTTGTGTTGTAATCATTACTAGATTTGACAAAAAATTGTCAACATCCGTAAACTATTATTGACTGCTATGTACTTTTGTGAAGACAGAGGCAAATTTACACTCTAAGTCAATTGAAAACGAAAACATTACATTGAATACTCTATTTGCACAACATATTTGAGTCGTGACTTCCAACACTCCATCCTTCTTCCATTCCTGCTGTTGCTTCCTTTCCTTCCTCTGTTGGTACTCCATTTACTTCTTGCTTTTGCTCTATTTGCTTTCTGTTTTCCTCTTCTGACCGTGGTGAGACTTCTTCTTTCACGTCCCTTCTTATACTACTTATATCGTTCGTATAAGTAGCACACACCACACTGTCCATGTTTGTATTAACAAATGAATTGACACAATTTAAATAATTTTTTTTACTTTTAGCTTGAAGTAGAACAAAAAACATCGCATTCATCATTCACCGATGATCCTCTCCATTTCTCATCAATCGAATCATCAAAATCTATAATCGATGATAATCATCAAATTGACAAATTCACTGGTACAACAACTCATTTGCCTACATTCAATTGGTCAACTGGTCAACCAACGAATATCACATCATTTTTATCAGATTATGCTATTAATCATATGCAACAATTTACATCATTATCAACAACAAAATCTACACTTACAACAAATGAACCATTTTCTACCACTTCTCCTACTTCTAATCCAACACAATGTTCGGATGATAAGCAATTCAAGCATCGTCGAGCATCATCTGTCATTGTGAATAATCATTATCCAATAGGATTGAATTATTCAATGCCCCCGGATCAACAACAACAACAACTACTGTATGAAACCAGCAAGGCGAGTAGACGTAAACATAGACATTCTGTGGGTGAAATGTTGCTGCATGATAATAACATTAATGATAATAATAATAATACCATGAAATCGAATTATGAATATTGTTCTGATGTTAGCTCGGATGTATTCAATGTTAGTTCAGAGTAAGTTTTTTTATGATAGTTTGTTTTTTACACATTTTTGAAACCATGAATCGATCAATGTTAGACCACACCATTAGAAACCTGGAAGAAGCACTGGAAGACGGCCATTTCGTCCTGGTATGGGACTCCTCAGTGGCAGTGAGCAGCTACGACTCCTGAGCCAGGCTGGGTTTGATCCCGCAACCTTCGGTATTGTGCGCGAACGCCCTAACCATCGGACCCCTGAGCCGGTATCTAACGGTGTTAATGTCTAACTTGATCAATTCACGGAGTTGCGCAACCTCATACACCATCTACGGTAGTTACTGTCTACACCCGAACAGGTTGAACTTCACTGGTCACATCTTCCCACTAGAACTCGGAGAAGATTCCTCACGAAGCTAGTCACTAGCGAGCGCAGGTAATTTGCATTATGGGGTTGTGAAGATTGTTAAGTTACACATTTTTGAAACCATGATCAAGTTAGACATTGACATCGTTAGATACCGGCTCAGTGGTCCGATGGTTAGGCGTTCGCCTACAATGCCGAAGGTCCTGGGTTCCGATCCTGCGGGGTGATAGAGTCGTGCATACGCACTGCTGAGGAGTCCCATACCAGGACGAAACGGCCGTCTTTCAGTGATTCCAGGTTTCTGATGGTGGTCTAACATTGATCGATTCATGTTTTCAAAAATGTGTAACTTAACAATCTTCACAACCCTGTAATAGTATTTTTTTTCATTACCTATTGTCTATATATATTGCTTAGCTTCATTAAAATTCACATACATTCTTATCATCATTAGGTACCTACATATATTACTTCTCAAACATATAGATATTTCTAAGTTTTAAAAATTATTGAATATGATAAGGATAATGTTGTTACATTATCTGAATGACATCACAGGTTATTGTCATTTTCTTCTTCTTATTATTATTATTGGAATTGAGGAAAGCACCCAACTACGTCATAACAGTTGCACAGAATTAGAAAGGAAGACCAGTGATTAAGTTGGTTTGAGAATACTATTGGGTCACCTATGCTCTGTTGATGGTAATAGGCGTAAGTACGTAAGTAAGTAAGTAAGTAAGTAAGTAAGTAAGTAAGTAAGTAAGTAAGTAAGTAAGTTTCCACTTCGAGAGCTTGTTCCTTATCTCTCCCTCCGTTAGAATCAAGTTTGTTATATACAATGTTTGGTTGTTGTTGATAGTGTCTGACCAACGAGTTCAAAGTATCTTGCATAGACCGCTATTAATTATTATTTGTGTCTTCCAGATGATGGCTTTGGTAGTTGTCCACGTTTCCGCTCCATACAGTATAACTGTCTTGACATTTAGATTGGAAATTCAGAATTTGGTGTTGATTGATATTTGTTTTAAGTTCCAGATGTTGTTCACTAGTAGAAATACAGACATTACTTTACCGATCCACAACATCATATCTGCATCAAATCCACCTTGCTCATCAATGATGCTGCCTAGATATGTAAAGCTTTTTACGTCCTCCAAAGCATCTACATGAAGAGTGATTTGGTTGGTGCATGTTGTGTTGTATCGGAGAATATTGCTTTTTCCTTTATGTATGTTGAGACCTACTGCTGCAGAGGCTGCTGCTACACTGGTCGTTATCTCCTGCTTTTGTTGTTGTGTGTGCGATAGAAGAATCGGATCATCTGCGTAGCCCAGATTGTCCAGTTGCATCCGAACTGTCCTCTGTATCATGTGGTTCCCTCCAGATGTTGACGTCTTCAAAATCCAGTCGATGACCAGGAGAAAGAGAAAGGGTGAGAGTAAGAAACCTTGCCTGACACCGGTCTTCACCTTGGAGTCTTTCAGCTGTTCTACGTGCAAAATTTCGCAGTTTAATCCACCATAAGAATTCTGTATAATGTTGAGTATCTTCTCAGACACACCGTAGTGTCGAAGAAGCCTCCATTGTGTCAACCTGTCCAGGCTGTCGAGTTCTTTCTCGTATTCAATGAAGCCGATGTAGAGCAGTGAATTCCATTCAATCCATTGTTTCACAACCACCCATAATGTTGCAACTTGGTCCGTAACCGATCATTCCTAACGAAATCCAGCCTGTTGATCTAAAAGTTGAGCGTTTATTGAATCTTTCATTCGGTTTAACAACACTCTGTTTAAGACATCACTTGTAGCTGCTATATTCCAGAAAAGGAAAATCAACAAAATCGTAAAATACTAAACTAAACAAAAATAACATGCATTTAAATAGATGAATACCTCATGAAAACTAGTTATCTGATTATAGGTTTACATATCATTAGGTAAATACATCTATGCCATTCTGTTAATTCTAAGTTTTCTCCGAATATAGACCTTTAAGATCATATTTCATTCGAAAATCTCTCTTCACCCTATCTCTGTCAAACTGTGGTATGTGTTACTTATACGAACGATATAAGTAGTATAAGAAGGGACGTGAAAGAAGAAGTCTCACGACGGTCAGAAGAGGAAAACGAAAAGCAAATGGAGCAAAAGCAAGAAGTAAAAAGGAATACCAACAGGAAGGAAAGGAATTAACAACAACAGAAATGGAAGAAGGCTGGAGTGTTGGAAGTCACGACTCAAAGAGATGGCGTACAAATAGAGTATTCAATGTAATGTTTTCCGTTTTCCTCTTCTGACCGTGAGACTGTTTGTTGTATTTGCTTTTTAGATGAAACAGTTGTACTGATGGTATCATTTATTTGTTTTTCTCTCATTTCTTTCTTATCGTTGATCATTTTTAATTTAGATTTCAACAACCTGCAATCCAGTTAGGTTTAAACGTAAATATGGAAAATGTTAATACTCAATTGGATGATGAGATGAGTATAAAATCACTTTCTTCCTTTTCCATGATAACAACACCATCACCATCACCAACAAGTGTTAATACTACTAATAATAATAATACAGGCATTGGTCAACGTCTTTTCGATCGGCTACATCCAGATCGAGCAAACTATTTACATGTACTACAACATTCAGGTGGTTCATTAGATCGACGTTTAAGTCCTGATTTGTTAAAAAGTCCTCGTAAAAAAGTAAGCTATTAGGTTAAGTTGTTATATATTAGAATTTTTTAATCTTTCAGTGATAATTCTTTCAATTACAGTCTAACTAAACAAAAAGGTTGAATGCACATAGTTAACAGGTATTTAAGTGAGCTTGACATTGTTTTACCACTTGGCAGTTACCGCAAAATGCCCTAATACAGCCGAGAGTTTGGCGAGTTCACACTACATCTCGAAATACTCTCATATGCCATGCATAAGCCGCTTCCATGCATGTCATACTGCTTTCTCGGAAAGTCAATATCTGCCCCCTAGACCCTGTTAGTTAGTGTAGTGGGTCCATCATGGGGGCGTTGAAAAGTCCTGACTCCAAACTAATCAAACACACGGGCCTCAGGGTCCTCATTGGAAAAATGGTATACGGACCCACTTTGTTCACCGGCTACCATGGGACTGAATCTTCTAATGTTGCCCCAAAAGTTTTGTAGTTCAGAATTTTGGGGTTAAAGGACTAGGGAGTAGCTCCCTAAGGGAACCACCACCCACTTCGTTTTGAACACCCTGGCAATATTCCATTCCGTTTACAAATTTAATTATTTTTGTAGCGCATAAATAATTAGGTGATACTTTGTACCAATGTTTCATGCTTTCAAATTAAATTGTTCTTTTTAATTCCCGCATATCATGATTACGTGAACCCCGGTTGTACGACGGGGGTCACTAAAAGCTCAACATAGTTTTGTGGATCAATTCATGCCATACTTTCATTTAAGCAGACAGACAATAAAGAGAAGTGTAAAATCAACGTGAAACAGAGAAAGCAAATGAGCCAGCTCAATGCTATAAAGTGTGACTAAGTATTTATAGTCAGACAAAAATATGCTAAACTTGTGATAACCGATCGAAGCTACCATCGTCCATTCAAATAGTAAAAAACAAGATTATTAGTACAGAATTGAAAAGGTCATGAGAACAGTGTGAATAATGACTTGAGAAGAGTGGATTGATTAATTTGTCCAAAGACTGAGACAAGCTAAGTTAACTCAACACATTAGTGTCCACCATATTCGTTTACACAAACAAATCAAACTTTCTTCTGTACATATTTCAGAAGTAAGTTGAATACACGTTCAAGAATCTGGTGCGTAACTGATATTGATAATTTTATTGATTAGTGCAGTTAGCTACATCAAAATACAACTTTACGGTACTTTTGTTTCTCACATATTGAACTGTATTCTCATATATTTAAAGTAAATTCAACCTTAAATGATTACATGGGAGTTTTTAAATGTTTTAAAGACAACTCAAGCTAACTGAATTATCATATTATAATATAGTTTCATGTTGAATGTAATTACATTTGTGAAATAGAATCATCTTAAATGGAGTTTTCCTGTTTGGGACGTTAGATCACCAGAACTCGCTTGATAAATGCCTTATTATTTGGATTTCACGTTTGCGAGCATGAGCTGATCAGTTGAACTTGAGATCACATTTCCCACCAGGAAAATCCTTGGCTGTGATTAGCTGCTGTGTATTTTAGTGTGCTATTTTTGTGACTGTCCGAAGGACGTTTCTATGATGCATAAATAAACGAGAGTTGTACGCTTGATTGCATTGTGCTTGTTGGATGTTTGTAGAATATACTTTCTACGCTACATCAAGACTTCTGTTTTACCGTTTGGATTCAAGGTAGCCTACCTGGACTCTGGTTCATTGTCTCGTTCTAGCTCATCGACTAAGGTGAACTCTTAATAGTTTCAAGCGTACACCTACTGACGAACCTAACAATTATTATTATGATTATTATAGTTTTATTTATTTTAGCTACTTAAAAAACATATAAGTAATCACAACTTTACATGTTCACTTTTTCGCATTTGGAAATTAGATGTTTATAGATTGACATTTGATGTTAGCATTTAAGCTTATTAGATTTTTTTAACAAGAATTCTTTGTTTTCTGTTACAAAAAAAATTAGATTTATCAAGAATGGTTACCTAAATTAACTGAATTATCCCACAAGGCATTTGATGTTGCACGTGACAAAATGAATAAAGTTAAAAGTGCAAATAATCCACAATCTTTAGTTTATAATCTAATTCATCATCCATCAACACATTATTATACAACATCAAATATATTGCATCAAGATGAACAATATAGCAGTGATATAATTCATAGATCACCAATTGATCATCAACTGGTGGTTATCGATGAACAACATCAAATACAAAGTGATAACAAATCCAATCCTACTGCTACTACTACTACTACTACTAATACTACTGATACTACTACTCCTAGTAGTATTAGTAGTATTTTACATGAAAAAGATGAACAAATTAATGTTGTTACTGTCAATGTGAATACAGATCCAGATATCGATCAAGATATTGATGAAGATTATGCTGATGAAAAAGATTGTGCTTTAGCTCCTTTACAAACACATTTATTAAATACCACCAATTCATCAATTCATCATTATCATCATACATCTCGACCAAGACATAGAATTATGATGAATCAAAATATTGGACAAAATTTAAGCCACTATCCACAACAAGTTATGCCATTCTTTCATGGTAGTTTACTTCATCCGACTAATATTTCACAACATCAACACCAACAACAACAGCAACAGTCTCAAAATGCATTCAATTCTCAATTACCTTATGGTACTAGTAGTAGTAGTAGTGGATTTAATAATTACACGTTACAAGATTTAGTTGATTTTTCGAATCCACAAGCTTTACCAGCTGCAGCTGCTGCAGCTTCATTATTATTATTTCGTTCAACTGATGATGATGAAGATCTGGCTGCTATTGATCGTGTGAATCAACGTTTAGCTTTGAATAGATTAATAACTAGTAATTTAATTGAGACAAATCAATTAGTAAATAATAATTTTCCTAATCTACATAATTCAACAATTTCTTCGGATTGTTCAACATCATCATCATCATCTCCTCAAACACAAACAATGTTACCGCCACCAACACAACAACAACAACAACAACCAATTAGATCTTTTTTTGCCTATAATACAAACAACACCAATTCCACATTCCATAATAATCAATAAAAAAAAACACAAAAATTTTGATCAACACAAGATACAATACATCATATCATTCATTATGCACATGATTGACTATTCCCGGTCTTCGATATAATCAATCAATCCTTCTACATAATATGCCCCTGATGATATTATAATGATACCTACCTATATTCCCTAATAAGAATAAAGTAAACGTCATATAACTTATTTCATTGCAAGGTTGTTGTGAAGATTGTTAAGTGTTTTTATTTGTAACCATGAATCGATCAATGATGTTAGACCAGCACTATTAGAAACCTGGAAGAAGCACTGAATCATGGCCGTTTCGTCCTGGTATGGCGCTACTCATTAGGTCCTGGGTTCGAATCCTGTGGGATGCAGGAGTCGTGGATGCGCACTGCCAGTGATGAGTAACCCCATACCAGGACGAAACAGCCGTCTTTTAGTGCTTCTTCCAGGTTTCTAATGGTGTTGGTCTAACATCATTGATCGATTCATGGTTACAAATCTAACTTATTTGTTTTTAAAAATTCCCCTTTAAAACCTTCCTTACACTATTTTGTTTTTATCACTACTCTTTTGTTCTAATACTTGACAACTGAACAATGTTTGTTTTTTTCTTTCATTGTTCATCTATATAAATGTAACAAGTTAAGTGAAAAAAAACCTAATCATGACATCCCAATTGAATTGTCATTTATATCTATGACATGTTGATCATTGAATGAGTGTATGTACTTCTCATTGCATTTCAATCAATAATTGTTTGCATTTTATTATGTGGATCAGCAGCAATGTACTCTTCTTCTCGTGAATGTGATAAAAATTACTGTGCATTTGTGAGATTAATCTTGATATTATTAGATAATATGTACATCAGATAGATGTATACTATACGAATTGATCGTATTTTCAGATCAATAAAAGATTCTAGACATGATTTCTTTTCTGTTTTATTATTATTATTATTATTATTATTATTATTATTATTATTAGTATTCACACCTTGACTATATTCAAATTAAAGTACAGTTTTTGTTTATCTAATCAATATTTACTTTACGTCAATTCTGATTTCGATTACTACTCCTTCATATTCGTCTTTGTCCTCTTCTTCAAAAATGGAACGTCGTACATAAACAATGTATAAAAATTAAATTTTTGATTAATTTTTCACACACATATTTATTTTCATTTTTTCCAAAAATATTATTTCAAATATATATATGTTTCTATTATGTTTTAATTTGACAAATATTATTCATAACTATGAAGAATCATTTTAAATAGTTCTTGGTGAAGATTTTATATAGTTTGGTGTATTTCGACATGATAGATTGTTGTTGGTATTTTGGTGCGTACTACTTATAAGTAGTATATGACGTGAGTGTCAACGTAATGTCTGGCAGCAGAAGATGAGGGAAGATCAACAAAAGGAAGAGTGGGAACGCAATGGAATTTGTATGAAATGCATGAATAGTGGAATAAATGTCAGACAATGGATTGATGATGGATTGAAGATTTGCAAATTAACCGTTTACGATATGGTTCCCCTATTTTACCAATTAACTCTGTAATTTTCGTTAAATACACTTCGGTTGCCCTACCTGTGTTCTCGTTCACTACATTCGGTGTCGCTGCCTACACGAAGGAAGGAGCTCCCGTGGCCGAAGGAGTTTGAGGTCGGAGATGTGCGAAGCTTCCTGAAGGAGTTTGAGGCCGTGGCGGAGCTGGTGGGTGTGAAGGAGCCGAAGGCGAAGCTACTGGTGCTGGGGACCTTGCTGACAGGTATGGCAAAGGCCGTACATGACGGCTTGGACGGTGCTGGCGGGAAGACATCATGGAAGGCGGTCACTGAGCGGCTGATGACCGAGTTCGACAGCCCGGTGGACAGGGAGGAGGCGTTGCGAAAGTTCCGGTTGGTTACGCTGTCGGCTGATGGTGACCCGCTGGTGCTTGCTGTGGAACTCACAAGGTTGCTGCGCCGTGCTTTGCCGAATATCGATGAGGAGTCGGAGGTACAATTGTTGGCGTCGCAATTTATTGAGAGTTTGCCTGCCGCTGTGTCCCAGCAGCTGAGATTAGTAAATGCAGTACAACGTATGGACATCGGTGAACTGGCGAAGGTGGCTCGTCAGCTGATGACACGAACAGTAGCTCCGGTCGAGAGCGAAAAGCAGGAGATAAATACTTTCGAGAAGAAGATTAAGGAGTTAGAGCGTGGGATAGCAGCATTACGAGTAAATCATAAAAGGAACGATAAATGTTACGCTTGTGGAGAGGCAGGACATTGGAAGATAAACTGTCCAAGAAGACGACGACGAAGATATTTTAAACATTATAACGTGTGTTCTTTCCACCCTAGGAATCGGGAGGTTCTTGCACTAGTAGATAGAGGGGCAATTTATGCCAGAGTGTACATAAATGAACAGGAGTTAGTGTGTTTGATCGATACAGGGGCAGCTATATCGTTAATAGACAAAGAGCAATGTAAGACAATCAAACCATGTACATTAGCTGTCCACACCATAGGAGGGCATATGCTAGAGGTGTTGGGGGTATCTAACAGTATTGTAAAAATGAGTGGAGCTGAGATAAATTTTCCGTTCATAGTAACCACAAGCTTATCGAGACCGATATTAGGAGCAGATTTCCTAAGAGAGGTAAAAGCGATAATTGACTTGAGAAGCGGTAAAATGGTCGCTGTGGTCTAGTGGTTAGGACATTGCGTTTTCACTCGCGTCATATACTACTTATAAGTAATGCGCACCACAGTATCAGTTTGAATGATGATTGAAAATCAAGAGGGAGCCTTGATGGTGGAGGTGGTTTGTTCTCCTCATTTGAGTGGAGTAACGCTTTATTATGATTATTATGTAATGTTATTCTTAAATCATGCTACATACACATTTATCAATATTATTATATAACCTGTTTGACTGCACTTATTTCATTTAACTAAGTGAACAATGTGAATAACCAAAGTTCACATGATTATCATACAGTTTTGTTCAAAAATTCATGGATGTGCACTGCTGATGAGTCCTAATAACAGGACACAACAGCCGTCAGTCAGTGCTTCCAGTTTTATAATGGTGGTCTGACAACGATTGATCGACGATTTCAATATGTGTTAAAACACTGATCTTCATAAGGCTAACTGAAAAATCGTAAAATGTGCTAACTGGTGACTAGTTTCGTGGGGAAACTTTCAGAGTTTTTCTAGTGAGAAGATATGATCAATGGAGTTCAACCCTGTCGGATGTAGGCAGTAATGACAGAAAAGAAATGAGTGAAGTCACACAAAATCCCTAGATTGAGCAGAGTTAGACAATAACACCTCTGGGAGCCGGTCCAGAGGTTAGGCGTCCGCGAGCATGACCGAAGGTCCTAGGTTCGAATGCCGTGAGTAGCAAGAGTCATGGATGCACTTTGCCACTGATGAGTCCCATAACGGGATGAATCGGCCGTCCATCGCTTCCAGATTTCTAATGGTAATCTAACGCTGACTGACTGATCATTTCAACGGGCATAATCCCAATCGAAAAATCAGAATTCATGTTATTATGAAATAATCAAAAAAGAAACCTTGTAGCGTCATCGTCCATTTGTTCTTGCGAAATTTAATGTTCAATTTTTTCAATAAATAATAAAACAAACAATATTAAATAATGTCAATAAATATACACAAATTGTATTTTCACAAATAATAATATTGAAAAATTTCATCTACACAACATGATAAGAATATGGCTTTGAGTTGCACATATATATATATGCATATATATATATATTTCCCAAAATATGTAAGGACAATAGAGTCAAACGGTTTATAAAGAAACAGGTGAAAACAATCGCAGTATTGCGATCATCATCATTATCATCCAAACTGTTTCGATATAAAGAATAGTCTTTACAGAACATGAACAAACAAAGAAACAAACAGTTGATTACACTCAATCATGAATGATACCCCAAATGAGCTTCTATGCATAACTTACTACTCTTACTATCTCAATCATAGACTGTCAAGTAGTAAGTAATAAGTAGACTGACAAGTAAACTGATTGATTGATTGACAGCATGGAATGGAAGAAATGAAAATAAAAGAGGACATGAAACAATGTCCTTTTTCATTCTGTTCTAAAACGATAAGCATTTGCCCAAATATCTGACAAGCAAACAGTGGAATGAAAACGAAAAAATACAATCAGTGGTAATGCAATATGTGTAATAATTTTCCATGCCATTGATGAATAATAATTTATATGTATACTATGATTATCAGCATGTTTCACTTCGAATGTATTAACAAACCACATAGCTAAATTTAATACCAGTAAAAATGTAATCATTGTACGTCCAGGTTTTTTTTGTACATGTTCTAATGTTCCGGCACATCGTCTTGATGCTTCTAATATGAAAAATACCTTTTCAGAAAAAAAGCAAAAAAAATTGGCTTGGAATTAAATTGATATGGAATAAAGGGTGGTAATGATTGATTAACTAGTCTGATAATTTGATGTAACTTTATTTCAACATTAAAATAGGATTAAACTATATATAACACGAAGGACGCTTCAAAATTGGAATTCTTCAAGGGATTAGAGTCATCACTTAAAAACGGCAAGAATAAGTGAAGAAACTCAACAAGAAATAAGTCAAACCATTGTACCATTAACTCGACAGAAGAGAGACAACAACGAAAAGCTCTAAAGAAATTCAAAACCAGGGAAGATATAGTCATAGTTCCAGCGGACAAAGGACGCACGATAATAATCATGGACAAGGAAGAATATATTAAGAAAGCTGAGGATCTACTTCAGGACAGAAGCATGTATAAACCAATCGACACAAACCCAATTAAAAAGTTTGACAATCAAATCTCAAGGATTCTAAACAGGCTTGTCAAAGCAGGACAAATAACAAAACAAGATCAATGGAGAATGAAATCCAATGGACCACTCATTGAGGTAAATAAGGCTGTCACGTCGAAGGATATTATCGTTTCGTCGTTGTCAGTTTGAATCCCCTTGAGTTTATCCAAGAATTGTGTGAAGTAGTTGGATTTATCCACCAGATGTTTTAATATCCTTGTAATTTCTCCTAATAAGTTGTAGACCAAAGGACAAAATGACAAAGGAAGAAAAACCAAATACCATCTACAAAATAAATTGCTCAAACTGTGAAAAACACTACATAGGACAAAGTGGACGGCCTCTTCAGCTTCGTTTACGTGAAAACCAATTAGCAATTAAACGCCACGACAACACTTCGTTTATATCAATACATACCGACAATTATGGACACACATTTGATTGGAACAATGTGGAAATACTGGATAGGGGGAGGACACAGAACCCTAGGGAATTTTTAGAGGCTTGGCACTCAGGTCAATCATCAATCAACAAACACATCGACAATGACCCAATTTATCAATCAATCAGAAAAATCATAGGTGACATAGGATCAAGAAACAGATCAAAAGGGGGATACAATCAAAACAATTGTCCAAACAACGACATGTTTAAGGTCAACAACAACCAATCAAGATCGAGGTTAGCAGAACAAGCTACAGGTCAAACGTGGAGAAATTCGAATGCTTCACTTCTATCTAAAGTTTGTGCTGATGACGATGTTGTTCAGAAGAACAACAATCAAAGCTCCACAACTAAAACAACCAGTTCAGAGAACGAAAAACCACCACCACAATCATCTACCTGAGCTACAGGTTGAATGTTTTATTCGTCATTTTTGTTCTTCACTTAATACATTTCAACAATTATCATGTTTATTTTTTCGGTTTGTTTATTCCTCTTGTCATATTATAGACCTCATAATTGAAAGCTAAGACAACAATTTTCTCAATGTTGAAGAGAATTTATTCAGAGTGCTTAATTTATAGAGGACAGTTGTTCATATGCACTGGCTACTTGACTCAAGAACCGAGGCTCTTCTTAGCCTTTTGTTAAGTTTGTCATCAGGTACGCTTGAAGCCGTTACGAGTTCACGTTAGTCGAAAAACTAGAACGAGACAATGAACCAGAGTCCAGGTATGCTACCTTGATCCGAAAATGGTTAAACAGAAGTCTTGAGATAGCGTAGAAAATATATCCTAAAAACACCCAAAAAGCACAATGCAATCAAGCACACAAATCTCATTTATTTATGCATCGTAGAAACGTATTTGGAACAGTCACAAAAATAGCACACTAGAATACACAACAGTTAATCACAGACAAGGATTTTCCTGGTGGGAAATGTGATCTCAAGTTCAACTGATTGGTCCATGCTGACAAACGTGAAATCCAAAATCAAGGCATTTATCAAACGAGTTCTTGGGATCTAACATCCCTAACACCTTGACCAGAGAAAAAGTTGATGATGTACATAGGAAAAAGAAAAGCGTACACGATTTTCAATGGCACTTGAATTGAGTTCCCCGTGTGTAAAATACTATCAGCAAGAATCTCTAACTCAGAACTAGTCGAAATTATAACGTCTTCAAATGATGTTGGATTATTGTCAACGCTTTGGAACAGCGTCCAAGAATTTCAAATTACGTAAGTATGAAGCATTTCTTAAGAAACATTGATAAGGTAAGAAAAATACGTTATATAATCAGCCAAGCTGTTAAAGACGATAACATTTGGTTAGGTATTTTGATCTGATTAAGTATCGGTTGCGCACAGTGACTGTTATTTAGTCCATGACTCGTAAAGTTATGTTAAAGAACTGTTTTTTGCGAAGATGATAAAGTAACATGTTCATTTTTGGAATATGATTCGTATCAAAACGAGATAACATTGCACCGATTTTTCCATACTTCTAATGTTATTCATAATCTCTGAACGGAAAACAAATACTTTCTATCAGAACTGAAGCTTTCTAAACAATCTTTCAGAGTATCTATCGAAATTTCACTTATTAGCCGAATCAATGTCAATCTTCTGAAGCTCACTCATTAATAATGATTAATTCCGACGTAAAGAATGTTCAACTTTATTCATCATTTATTTTAGAAAAAATACAATTTTTATTCTTTCGTTGATGCTACTTGGCAAATCTCAACAATATACTGAGTACATATTGTAGATTCGTTACTTTAGCATTTTAAAACCATTTTTTATACATTAATATCATGAACTAATCATTTTCAGACTAACATTAGAAACCTGGAAGTACTGGACGGCCGTTTCGTCCTGGTCTGGTAGGACTCATCAGCAGTGCTCATTCACGACTCCTGCTACTCGCAGTAATCAAACTCAAGACCTTCGTTCTTGCGCGCGAACGCTTAACCTCTGGACCACTGGGCCAGTATCCAACCTAATGTGTTCGGTAGTTACTGCTTACACCCAACAGGGTTTCAACTACACTGGTCACATCTTCTCACTAGAACTCCGATAATTCATGAGTTCAGCGTGTAAAAACAACGATCTCCATAATACTATAATGCGAAACTGTCTTTTGACCATAGATTAACGATTGTTTTAGTTCCTTTGACTCGTATAGCCGGATACAGTCACCGATATTTTACAAGTATAACTTACATTTTACTGATTTAAGTTATGAACATGATTTCCGGATGACGTTCTCTGTCTTGACGAATAATTTAGCAAACAAACTACACAATTTGTAAAGATTATATAGTAAGTTGTGTCAGGGTGGTATAGCTTTATTAAGCAACGTGATCATTCAGTATCTTACTAACACGCCTGTCACCCATAATAGAGCATAGGTCGTTGACCAGCATTCTGGTTCCGATTCTTGGCGTAATGTGTTCTGTACTCTTGAAGATTTCAAGTTAAGGCTTGCCTTTGACACATTTAGGTGCTTTCCGCCATGTATTGTACCCTATCCACCTCCAGCTCTTTTCCTTAATTTCTTATTCAGACAGAATCTGGTTCGCTCTCTTCCACAGTGTGTTGAAGGCACATAGGCTTGCAAATCTCTCACTATTTTTGTTTCTTTCTTCCAATCTATGTCGTCCTTTAATGACTGCGTATCCAGTGTTTCTTGTTCCAACCTCGGCGTTCAGGTCTCTCATTTGAAATGCCAAATCCTCTGCTGAGAATTTCTCGACAATTGACTGGAGCCTGTCATAGAAACCGATCTTTAACATCCTTTTCGGTATCGTTGGTAGGCGCATAACACTAGATGACGTTTATTGTAATCTCCTATTATTTTTGTTTTGAAGGAGGCTGTGACGGACCTGGTGCATGTCCTGCACCTATCCTGCAAGAGCCTTTTTGTGCTTCTTTGAATAGCATCAATACACCTTCTTGTGTATACGAGACATTTTCATCTTCAAGGCCAGAGTACGACAGCGTCTCTTCTGCAGTTAATCTTTTTCGTCTAACTTGCATCCGATAAGTTCCACAAGGCCGTATTTTTCTTTTCACTTCCGCAGCAACTTGAATAGTTCTTCCAGTCTTCCACATTGTGGAAACCCTCCATGTACCTATCTATAATAATGGTTGCTCTGTTTATAAGAAGAAGCATCGGCCTTGTGACTGCCAAAGAAACTCGGCTTTCACCATAGAACGTTATACCTCCTCCAAAGGAAGACCTTATAACTCCCAGGGCAGAATGTGAATGGTTTAAGTTGTTTTTTTCTTACTTACTTACTTACTTACGCCTGCTACCACCAATGGAGCATAGGCCGCTCACTAGTTCCCTCCAACCAACTCTGTCATGGGCTTCCCTCTCCAGTTCTGTCCAATGTTTGTTCATTCTTCTCATATCTTTCTCTATTTCTCGGCGTAGTGTGTTCCTTTGCCTTCATTCTTTTCCTTTTGCCTTGAGGATTCCACGTGAGGACTTGTCTCGTGACACAGTTAGGTGCTTTTCGTAGTGTGTCCTGTCCGCTTGCACTTCTTGGTTAACGTCTTTTTAGCTGCTTAGTGTTCTATGTGATCTGATCATTAACTCCAGACTCAACCCTTCTTCTTTATCTGAACTTAGGATCGGCAGTAACCCTAGAAGAGCTCCAGGCGGAACTGACCATTCTCTAAGTCATCAACTATATATGTACATTATGAATACACAAAGATTTTGTGTAATTATTCAACATATATAAGTCTACATGATTTTCCTTTTTTTCTGACTTAGTATTAGGGGATGGCTGAGTCATGCATGCTACAAGTCATAACACAGAAAGTTTAATAATATCACTTCTATTACTATCATTTATTTGAGTAGTAGTATAAAAATCATTCAAAACTTACTTGTAACATCGATTGAATCATTTCCATAATAGCTTTAGCTGCATATAACTTGGCCGCAATCACACCATTCGGTATAGCTTCTAATGCAGGTACTAATAAGAATAAATCATAGAATAACATTCCAACTAAACCGATCAATAATAAATTATCATCAAATGCTACTTCTTCTGATAGATCACTTAATTTCAATGCTTGTAAACGAAATAAACTAGTTAAACATGTTAATGTACTAACAGATAATAACACAAGTTCTGTTCCTTGATATAATGTAATTGCTGTGTTACGTCGATCACGTTTTACTATGAAAATAAAAAATAAACTCATTGCCACTAATGTAGCCATAAATAATAGTAGGCCAACAAATAAACCTTTATGTGAACGATGACATTCAGAGAATTGACTTAATTTTGGATTAGCTTTACGTAATTTTTCCAAACGTTCTGATTCTTTCCGAACATGACCAACTTTTTCAAACATTTTATAAAATATTGCACCAGCTATTAAACTATATTCAATTGCACATGGAAATAAATATGGTGCTAAGTATTTGACTGTTACACCACATCCTGTAGTAGAAGTAGAAGAAAGAAGAAGGAGAGTTTTGAGGAAAGTAAAAAATGGTAAAAATAAACGACAACATCAGTTAAAAAAGACAAAGTTGAAACATTTAAACGGTTTTAATTATTGTAATTTAAACACCAGAGCTATGTTTTGTGGTATAGGAGTAGGTTGGAAGAAAGCTAGAGGCGACCAGACCAAAACATGGCTGAAATCCATGAAGTCACTGATAAGTAAACTGAGTCATGTTGGTAGATGTAGACTACCTGGTTGGGGTCCGCGAGACGAAAGTCATCAATGGTTAGAGACTTGAAGACATGGCTCACAATTGTTTGCAATGGCGCAAGTGCATCCATTCGTTGAGCTCTCTCAAATACTAATCTTCTGGATTCGTCAGCACCTCCACCTTTGTCTTTCTAACCTTATCTCACTGAATTATACTTCTTGAATAATATCTTCGAACCCTAGTCTTCTTCATTACCATTAATACCTCTACTATCTTTATCACAATGGGATTCGATTTGATATTTGCGTCTCTGTGCTAATGTGTGTGGTATGGCACCATGAACTTATGTACATACCTACGAAGTTCTTACGTTGCAACTTACTGACTGACTGACTGACTTGAAACACCAATATACATGAGTGAATACTTTAATTATGAATAGAGATTAAGGTAAGTCACAATACATGACATCTAATATGAAATTAATTTTGCTGGTCATCATCATCATCTAGTCATCAGACAATTCAGTAAAATCTCTTTTGTTAAAATATGATACAATTGCTTATGAGTATTAAAGATTCCCATTGTGAAAATTAGAACAACACATATAAGCGAACAATATTGTTTTCGATTAGATCGTCATCAGGCTGCTTTACTCTAATATACATGAATATTTATATGAAAATGATAAACCAATCAAGGCAATTTGAGTCGATAATCACAATGAAATGAAAAAAGGCAAAAGTACATGTGGATAGTAGGAAGATAGGTGAACCGATAGTAGTAGGAAAATTTATAAAATATGATAACTAAAGTAGGTCAAGGGTGGATGAATAGACTTCAAATGATCATCAAAAAACATCAAAAACATTACGTAATAAGCAGATGTGTAAAAATAATAAAAATAATAAAATTAAAATTAATAAAATTAAAATAAATAAAATATATATAATGTCAATCGTTAGTTACGTCATATCCGGCCACGGAAGAGATAGGGGTGCCACGAATTTCTTCTTCTGAACACATAAATTAGGGTTGAATGTACGTATTCCTATAGCTTCTGCAATGTATGTAGGAGACGGGATCGAACTCTTGGGAAATGATGGAGGTATACGATAGATCACCCGAACAGATCTAGATTTATCTACAATGTGATCACTATCTACCAGGTGTGTCTTAAGATAGAACTGCGTATTGTTTTTGACTGACCCTTTGTAAACCATGCTGGAACATGTTCACTCATTCGTTGTGTAAGTTGCTTATAACCAACTTTGTATATAACTGATAATTGTTGGGCACGAAAACCCAGTTGGTGAGGACAACAACAATATATATTTTTAAGCGAATATTACAGAGTTGTTAAGCATATGTACAAAACCGTCCCGTGAAATCATCATTCGCAAACTAATCCTTATTTGTTTCAGATTTCAGTGTTCTTTCATTTAGACTGACTGTTCAGACTTCAGTTCACTATACCCTTACCTACCTTCATACATACCTTCTGTTCTCATTCTTTCCTTCTCGATCTTTTGCTGTCAGACGTTTGATTTCCCTTTTTGATATCATATACTACTTATGTGAACATAAGTAGTATATACACCACAATAATGAGTGTCATTGATTATATTACATCATCATCTACATAAATACTTTAATTGATTATGATTCAGTGAACTATCAAGAAGTATAAAACTGTTATAATGTTGATATGTAGTAGCTATTTGAAATCCTACCGCCGATTGACTAAATTCAGATATTCCAGTACGACTCCAAATACACTGTTCCCAAATCTTTAATATATATATCTCAGAACACAATACCGTTAGATGAAGTTGTTTATGGGGGGTCGAGTACAGAAGGAATGAAAGAATAATAAGCTCTGCAGACAATGCATATTTATACATTTAGGTCGAATAGGAAACAACATTGAAGTGTGTGACAGTGACAGTTAAGGCAACCAATAGGAAAAAACATTTGAAGTGACATTGATAATCAAGACGGTCAATAAGAAACAACATTGGAGTATGTTATATTGATATCTACTAGGACGACTATAAAATTGACCAGTAGCAATTAACCAATAGGAATTGACCAATAATTCTCTTACGATATTGGATGAATATCCTAGCACAAATAATAATAGACTTACTTACATTGTTCATAATAAAACGCAATTCTTGATCATTTTGACGAATGTCTCTAACTTTCATAATTCAATAGCTTAATGGTTAACACATCGGTATTTGAAATAACAAGCACTAGATTCAAGTTTCAATTTGAAATGTAATCATATCCGAATGAGAATTTGCAGACAGAATAGAATATGGGTCGTGAGACACTATTCATATATATAAATATATATATATCGTGTGTCGATTTACTGCGTGTTTTTAAGCTCGCTAATTAACTCGTCTAGTCGATCGTTACTAAATAGCGTCTGACGGTTTATAAATCAGAAAGTACACTCGAACCGATGAATACGTTTATTTGAGACATAACACAAAGCGAAGCGGAGAAGTAACGAATAAAACGAATGAAGCAACGTAAATTGGAGAAGACTGTTGAGTCAACTCCCAGGATTACAATACGAACGAATGGGCGAAGGAAGCGATGTGGAGAATGACCAACGAGCCAACTCCAAGAGATACAGCGTGACTGAGAATATATAGTCAGACAAATAATATAAGACAGACATGTGACAAGCGAAATAGGCACACATGAATAAAAGCGACGAATAGTTGACAAGGTCAAACGACAAGCGGAACACGTCATGTGAGCTCATATTCAAACCAGACAATAATAAGAAGAACGAATGTTACATATAAATTGTTGCTATACACAAGTGGCTTGGTTAAATAAATTAATCGAAAGGGCTTAACCAAAATAGATGTAAGCGAACTGGAAGATACAAGTGTTTATTAACAGTTGTCTACGCAAAATACTTCGTATTCGTTGACCAGACACTATCAGAAACAACTTACTGTGGGAGAGAACAAACCAGATTCCAGTGGAAGAGGAAATCATGAAGAAGCGGTGGAAGTGGATAGGACACACACACTACGAAAAGCATCTAACTGCGTCACGAGACAAGCCCTCACATGGAATCCTCAAGGCAAAAGGAAAAGAATGAAGGCAAAGGAACACACTACGCCGAGAAATAGAGAAAGATATGAGAGGAATGAACAAACATTGGACAGAACTGGAGAGGGAAGCTTAGGACATAGTTGGCTGGAGGGAACTGGTGGGCGGCCTATGCTCCATTTGGGGGGTAACAGGCGTAAGTAAGTAAGTAAGTAAGTAAGAACTGGAATATATGTGCAGGCACTACATATATATATATATATATTCAACGTAAGCATACATACCTAACACTGCTTGTTCAGCTGCATGCATTGCTGAATCTTCATAATTTGTATGAGGCGCTGTCACATTGTCACCACGTTTTTTTCTAGTCAGCGATATAACTATATTGGTTGAATTAGTTAAATTGAAAGTTGACAACTTTGCACTATTTGTATAATTCTGGAAATTTGTATTACTATAATTATTATTATTATTATTATTAATATTATTACTACTATATGGTGCGTTTGTATCGAAAAAATATTCTGATGGAAATACTATCGGTGAATCAGCGGACATCAGCTCTTCTTCATGTGCAGGTTCACTGCCAATTTCATCAACAATGGTTTTTAACCATTGACATAAATTGGCGACAGCCAAATGACATAAAAGAAAGCGTAGAACAAATTTTTGTACATTGAATACAACCTAAAAATAAAGAAAAACGCGTGTCTGATGGAAAATGTAAAGTGTTTTAATGAATATCATGATAAGAAATGGTGTGTGAGAGTCGAATGAAAGAATACGCTCGTCAAGTTAAAACATTCCATCATGTTGTATGCTGTTAAATTTGCTACTAAATGGGACTAATACACAATATAACCTTCGGCATTAGAACAAATAAAACCATCCCTGAGATTGCAAGCTAAAAGCCAGAATATCAACAAAAGGAACCTTCACTCTAGTAAGTGTCGAAATATACAGAAAACTCATGCGTACTTATAGTTTTCCTTCATCCAATCTGCAATTAGCCATGTCACATCACCATTCAATCACTTGATGTAACATCTACATTCTAGAAATTATATCGATATGTGATTCGATGGAAGCTTTTCAACTTCTTAGGAACCTCTGGAAGCATATGTGAGACATCTCAACATATGTAAAATACCGAAGACAGTGTATGAGGTTGCGCAACTGTGTGAACTGATTGAAGTTAGACATTAACACCGTTATATACAGGCTCAGTGGTCCAGAGGTTAGGCATTCGCGAGCAAGATCGAAGGTCCTGGGTTCGAATCCTGCGGGGTGCAGGAGTCGTGGGTGCGCACTGCTGATGAGTCCCATACCATGATGAAACGGCCATTCAGTGCTTACAGGTTTCTGCTGATGGTCTAACATTGATCGATTCATGATTTCAAAAATGTGTACCTTAACAGTCTTCACAGCCCTGTAATGCAACATATGAAATCAATAATTCATTGATTAAATAGCAGTCATCAATTCAAGCATGAATAGATTACTTTTATATTAGCATAATTTACAGAAATCTATTTCACATTTTTTGAAACCATGAATCGATCAATGTTAGACAACCATCAGAAACCTGGAAGCACTGACAGACGGCCGTTTCGTCCTCGTATGGGACTCCTCAGCAGTGCGAATCCACGACTCCTGCATCCCACAGGATTCGAACCCAGGACCTTCGGTATTGTGCGTGAACGCCTAACCATCGGACCACTGAGCCGGTATCGGTGTTAATGTCTAACTTGATCAATTCACACAGTTGAGCAACCTCATACACAGTCTTCGGTAGAAACTGTCTACACCCGAATAGGCTGAACTTCACTGGTCCCGTCTTCTCACTAGAACTCGGAGAAGATTCCTCACGAAGCCAGTCACTAGTGAGCACAGGTAATATGCATTACGGGATTGTGAAGATTGTTATATTACACATTTTTGAAACTATCTATTTGTGTTGAATGAATAATTATCACTTAGCATAATTTCAATACATCACATCTACACTCCTGAAGATGTTAGTGCATTATTAGCTGAACGATAAGGTCATGTGAAAACTTTATTCTATCTATTTTATCCGTCAAATGTCATTTGAAATAAAGTTGGGATTAAAACGATGTAAATAATGATCACGTAAAATCAATTGTGCTGCGTATGCGTAACCACCAAATGCCTCGAAGAGCTTTGTTTTGCAGTGTAGGAATAGGTTGGAAGAAAGCTAGGGGCGGCCAGACCAAAACATGGCAGAAATCCATGAAGTCATTGACAAGTGGATTGAGTCATGTCGGTAGTTGTCGACTACCTGGTTGGGGTCCGCGAGATCACAATAATCGATGGTTAGATACCCTGAATGACATGGCTCAGAATCGTTCGCAATGGCGCCGATGCATTTATTCTTTGTGTTCTCTCAAATCCTAATCTTCTGGATTCTTCAACGCCTCTAGTTTTGACTTTCTAAACTTTTCTCATTGAGTCATACTTCTTGAATAATATCTTCTAATCCTAACCTCTCTGATTACTTCTAATTCCCTTACTACCTCTTCTACTATTGGATTTGAATTGACGATTACTTCTCTGTGCTGATGTGGTATGGCAACATGAACTGATGTACTTACGTACGAAGTTCTACGTTGCATCTGACTGACTGACCGACTGACTGACTGATTTGTGCTTATAGTTATTTGTAACCGTCTGTGCTAAGCTCGACAATTGTTGATATGCTTGAAACTATTACCAGTTCACTTTAGTCGGTAAACGAGAGTGAAAACAGTGATTCAGTGACACAATAAACTACACTAATCCGAGCATCCCAAGTCCCCACTAACGGTATCAAAAAGTCTTGATATGGTGTAGAAAGTGTATTCTACAAGCACCTAGAAAATATGAGGTTTTGTACAGAAGAAGAAGAAGAAGCAGAGCATAAAACTTTAAAGACAATGCATATTTATACAGTTAGGTCGACCTTGATTACTAACCAATAGGAAAGAACATTTATAAGTATGTGAACTTGATAGTTTAGGACGACCTTCAATATTGACCAATATGGGTTGACCAATAGAATTAGATTCACAAAATAATTTCTTTCGGATATTTGATGAATATCCTAACAGTCTGAAATAAATTTTCTAAAAGAAAGCTATACTGTGAAGTGATGGAATTTAGAACTATATTTCAGACATAAATAGTATGTTACTCCAATTTTGTGATGCGAGTAGTCTTATACTATAGGACAAAACAGCCGTCCAATGTTTGGCAGTTTTCAATGTTGGTCTTACTCTCTGATTAGTGGATTATTGCATCTGTGAAAATATCAACTATCCTCTATTATATTAAATGAAGTACTCTTTCAAAGTAATTGAATTGATAGAAATCAATTTATTTTAGATTAACACAACAAAATGACCATCTAAATTCAACTTCAATTTTTATGTCATCAAATTAATTTTTATTAAAAATCATGTGAATATATATGTGCAATTCTTACCCGATGATGTTTAAACAAGAAGTAGGTTTGCCAAAATACATAGACAAAATGTAATAAATGTAACGGTATCCATAAATATCCATGACAAGAAACCATACTATTAGCTCCTTCTTCCCATGGTTCAGCTATTTTGAAGCCATCGAATATCATTACACCAAAACCAAAACCTTAAAATAATCAATTTATAGGATAGAAAAGTATGTTATTTTTCATCTTGACTATTTATTATCTATTAGCATGATCAACTCTCCATTCACACTTCTCTATAAGTCAGTCAGTTTAGTTTTAATGACAAAAGTTCACTTTAAAACAACTCATCAACTTCACATGTATTAGAAATTTTAATACAACTTATTGAGAACGTTAACTCTCCAGAACTCACTTGAAAAAAGGTCCTAATTTTGGATTTTTGTGTTTTCGCGCATTGGCTGCTCAGTTGACCTTGAGATTGCATTTCCCACTTGGGAAATTCTTGACTGTCAACGGTCGATGTATTATTATCTTAGTACGTTACTTTTGTGGCTCTTCCAAGGACGTTTCTATCATGTATAAATAAAATCGATTTGTACGCTTATGAACCTCGCATTTTCTGTGTACTTGTAGAATACACTCTCTACGCCTTATCAAGACTTCTTGATATAGGTAGCCTGGCCTAGGACAATGGATTAGAATAGCCTATCATATCACTGAATCATTTGTCTTTGAGCTCGTTACCGAGTAAGGTTAACTCGTCATAGTTTCAAGCATATCAGTTGACGGTCATATCACTGATGGATAGAAAAAATCCCAGATAATTTGGTTGAACAAAAATCATACCATAGACAGAAATATATCATATCATATAAATTGATCATAGTGTAGTAATTAATATCATATTTATCTAGCCCTTAGTATTGATTAAGGTTTGATATAGTGATTTTTTCCCAATGACTCGATATTGTTTTTATATTAGACCAAGTTTTTCGAACCAATCTAACCCCTGAAGGTGATGTAGCATGTTTTCCATTGAAGGTTGTACCTCTGAACGAAACGCAGCAATCAATCAAGACGAAGATGACCCCCACAGGCAGTGACATCTGTCTGCGACGATGGTTTGATGCGTGGCTGACCCAAAGTTCGCCAAGTCTCTTCTGACAGAATAGTGAACCGGCTGATCGCGGATTGAGAGGGTCAGAAATTTACGTCGAGTAGAGGCATTGATGTGAAAGACTGCTTCTAAAGTCCTTGATGCGGCAAACAGCTTTCTTGGGAAACGACGCTGCGTCTATGAATTTTTCCGGCCATTTAGTTGGGTTAATTGGCGAAAACCGCTTAAGTGACCAACTTTCTGACAGCAATTGCACATATGCTACTTGAATGGACAAAATTTCACATAATGTCAGGCTCCACAGTACCAACATGGTGACGGGGTCTTATGATGAGCCGATTTGGAGTGATTATGAGCGGAATTGGCATTCAAACGACCAGAAGTTTTCGACCTGGAAGATTTATTCTGCTGCTGAACAACGTGAACTTCGGAACCATCCTGGCTTCCAGATTGAACCAAAGTGGTGTCACGCTGTAAGTTGGTGATGCGTTGGTACTCATCGGTGATAGCATTGAGTATCACTGTTGAGTCTTGTTCAAGGCGGTTAGGCAACCGAGTTCTGATGTCGGAGAATTCGGCTGATTAAAGACTGCATATGAATATGAGTTATTTGAATTAGTCATCAGTGAGGAATCTGAGTTGGAACCGTTCGCACTCACGAGTGACAATGCCGACATAGGTCAAAAAGTCGTCGGACTTATCCATGATCAGTTTTAAGCAGCGGTAACGAGTACTCAAAAGAGAATGCTGATCATCAAAAAGTTTTCTGAGGAACTGAGCAGTAGCGTCAAATTGACGGTCTCGTGGTTTGTGTGGTAGGATGAAGTTGCAATACTTGTCCAGCTCTGACGGACCAAGTTTTTGGAGGAGGAAACGCACCTTCCAGGAATCATTTATATCAGCCAAATCAACTTTGAAGAGATCTTCATAACGCATGAACCAAGTATCAAATGTAATATTGGCGTCAGGATCATTAAGAAACTCTTAAATACCACTGGTCGTACCATCGAATGACTGAGGAATAGTCGGCATAGATGAGACTTGAGAAGGGATGTGCGTCTAAGTAAGCATCTCCATCAACTTCAGCTGTTGTGTAAACAACTTTTCCAATTTAGCCAATTGTTATAATGACGCTATGTAGCTATTCGAAATCCTACCGACGTCCAAATTCAGATATTCCAGGAAGTCAGTAGACACATGAATAACTCAATGCTAACATCTCAAACTACGAAGCTGAGTGATTTGGGTTAGAACCATCATGTTTTATATGATTACGGGTATGTCCAACTGATGAGTGACAAACAGCACAAAGTTCAGACACAAAATTCCCTGTTGACAATAGACTATCTTCTACTGTAAAAAAATTACACTATATTTAATTTTAACTAGATTTAATATTATTCAAAATAATTCTGTTGGAGATGTTAGATCCCCAGAAACTCGTTTGATAAATGTCTTTATTTTGGATTTTATTCATGGGCTGATCAGTTGACCTTGAAATCATATCTCCAACCAGGAAAAGCCTTGGTTGTGATTGGTTACTGTGTTATTTTAACGTGCTATTTTGTGACTCTCCCAAGGATGTCTATATGATGTATAAACAAACGCGATTGTTTGCTGGCCGGTTGTTTGTAGAATACACTTTCTACGCTATATCAAGACTTCTCATTAGCTGTTTTGGGTCAACGGATCAGACAAAGTAGCCTACCTGGACGCTGGTTCATTGTCTCGTTCTCATTTATCAACGAAGGTGAACTCGTAATAGTTCCAACCATATCTAGTGACGAGTATAACAAATTCAAAACTTATAGAGAAAAAATTGATTAATTCATCACACTAATCGCAATCACTGTCATAATGAATTAATTAATTATGATTCCTATGAATAACTTACCTACAGCACCTAAACGTAAATACAAATTAACCCCCTCGGTATCACGTGAAAAATAACATTCACGTCTAGATACTGTTGGTTTATCACCGAATAAAATTGCCAGCGGATAAAATGAACCACATTGTATAGCATTGCCTGTTCGTTCAGAACAACATGATGTCTTTCGTTGTGTATTCTCTGTAGAAATACTCATGTGTTTAGGTTTTTTTGTTAAATAATTGCCTTTTTGATTTGATTTCTTTAACGAGGTATTTTCATTTGCAAAAATAGCATCACTGCTAGTATTAACTATGGTAGGTTGTTGAATACAACTATTGCATTGTTTAACATTACTCAATGTAAGATAAACATTATTTGTTTTTATAATTTGTTGTAAATCATTCTTATCAGTATTGTTATCGTTATGATTATTATTATTCGTGTTACTACTACTTTTCTCATTATCAGTAGTATAATTTTGTTTGTTATTATTACTAGAATCCATAGTATGATTAAAGTTGTGTATTGTGTTAAGGTGTAATTCCATATCATTAGGTTCGTTATGAATATTTGTTTGACTTTTATCATTATTAATATTATTATTATTATTATTATTGTCAGTGAGTTTGCTGGAATTGATGATCTCTTGTTCTCCTTCGTCTTCTTCATCAGTATTATAAATCTTGATAATAATACTATTCTTATGAATATTAAAACCATCATCTTTCTGTTTGATTGGAGCTATGATAGGATTTGTAAATTTAACACCTTGGGTTGAATGTTTTTGTTCATTTTGATTTGACTAGTAGAAAGTGATAAAGTAAGAAATTTAAGTAAAGGTTTATGTGAGGTTGTGATAGGATATTAAACGATTAGAAAAAAAGTAGAGATTTTTAAACTGGTAGGCTGATTGAGTAGTTGAAAGCTAATGTTGATTATTTTACTTACCTACTTAAGCCTGTTACCCACAATGGAGCATAGGCCACTGATCAGCATTCTCCGACCTACTCTGTCCTGAGCCTCCCTTTCCAGTTCCGTCCAAGTTTTGGTCATTCGTCTCATGTCTCTCTCCATTTCTTAGTATAATGTGTTCCTTGACCCTCTTCTTTTCCTTTGATCTTGAGTGTTCCGATTGGGGACTTGTCTTGTGACGCAGTTGATCGCTTTCTGCCGCGTCTTCTTGATTTCCTCATCTAATGAAATCTGGTTTGTTCTGTCCTATAGTAGGTTGTTGTTGATGATGTCTGGCCAACGAATCTGAAGTATCTTGCGTAGACAACGGTCAATAAGCAATTGAATCTTACAGATGATGGATTGGTGGTTCTCCAAGTTTCCGCTCTATACATTAGAACTGTTTTGACATTTGGATTGAAAATTCTGACCTTAGTGTTGATTGATATTTCTTTGAAGTTCCAGATGTTTTTCAGATATAGAAATGTAGCCCTTGCTTTGTCGATCCGCGCCCTCAGTTTGAAATTATTTTTATCTTCATTCTATAATGCCAAGCGTAGGTTGAATAGCTAGAGTTTTCATTACAAATAAAGTCCAGTTAAAACAGTGAATGGTGCTGCGCAAGACCTTGGGTAGATGAAAGTTGGAAATTAACATCGTTCGATGCCGGATCAATGGTCTAGAGATTGGGCAAGACTGAAGGTCCTGGGTTAGAATCCTGTGAGTAGCAGGAGTCGTAAATACCCACTGTTGCTAAGAACTTGCATACAAGGACGAAACGGCCGTCTTTCAGTGCTTCCAGGTTTCGTATGGTGGTCTAATATATTGGTCGATTCATGATTTCGAAATAAAAAGCATTCATTGAAAACCAGGCGTTTTAGTTATTAATCAAAAAATACCCTGGGATTTATCAAACCCATTCAGTATAAAGAAAGCAATATTTATTCTAAATTAGTGATCAGTTTATCGATGTAAGAGTGAATCACCATCCAAATTTTTCATTGATACTTCACTCAAAACCGAAGGAACACCATTGTCAATAAGTTCTGTATTAAGAGATTACAGCACACTCAATAGACGACTGATGTTTCGGTCGAGTTTGTCCATGGAAATTCGATCAGTAGAAACAATCAACACAGATTGTTAAGTTAACATTTTCTGTACTTAATTTTGTGTATTGTTTCATACTACTTGGTAATATTTCAGTAAGCAGTCTTATTTCATTACAATTCACTTTTCCCTATTAGAAATTTTTACCTTATTGTTTGATAATTTTACGCTTTCTTCAAATGAATTTTCTTCATATCCAATTGAACTAATATTATCATCGTCTTGATCGATGAAACACGTTTGATCTTCCAAATCTGAATTGAAAAAAAACAAAAATTAATATTGACTAGACAAGGATGCTTGTTAAAAGTAGTTTGTTGTTCAAGGTAAATAGACAGTTGGAATCATCAATCAGTCAGTCATTGTTAGACAACCATTAGAAACCTGGAAGCACTGAAAGACCGCCGTTTCGTCCTGGTATGGGACTCACCAGTGTCAGTGCGCATACACGACTCCTACACCTCACAGGATTCGAACCCAGGACCTTCGGTATTGTGCGCGAACAGCTAACCACCATCTAATGGAGGTCTAACAGTGATGATATTGATTGATGATTTCAAATGTGTAAAAACACAAATCTCCAAAACTCTAACTGAAAATAAGTAATAGACAGTTTTTTCTTGTCAATCACTTTCTTACATGAGACCAGTTTGAGGTAAAAGTTCAGACTTAAAATGTTATGAAATATTATTTCAATTAAATACATAAGGATCTGCTTGTGCTTTACCAGAGACAAGTTGACGAGTGACGTCGGCGACTAAATAAACTTACTAAACAGGTTTTATCCGAACCTCAACAATATTCTGATTAGTTGGTTTGAATTTGATAGAGCTTACTTTTGACTTGATTGCTTCGTAATAACATTTTCGCTATCATCGATAAAGCTAATATGAAGTCAATGAAATCCTACCACTGAACTCTGCAAAAAACACTGATTCTAGGCGCCCAACTAAATTATTCATATATACAGTTTTAAAAGATGAAAGACAGCTTTCACAGCTTTACTTATACAATGTCATCAAGACAGTAGTAAGTTATTCCGACAAAAAATATTTGATTTGACCACGTAATGCGCTATTTATTCAATAAAACAAAGAGTATTGACTATCTGTTAGAAATGTTTAACCAATAATTGATCAAAATCCTTAGGTTTAGGCTTCGAAGTTTTTTTATGGACATCTGATACTAAGCCTCGGAAGTGATAAAATGAAAAATCATAATGTTATTCGCTGGATTTAAGCAAATTTTATCAATGAGACCCAATTGTTAAGTTTTCTCACAAATTCTAAATAAATGAAAAAATTTACTCCAGTCATATAAAGTTAGTTGACTTGTTGGGTACACTACACATTAGTAATAGTGCTAGTAAGGATCGATCGTGTACCGACCGAATTGCTACATTACGGATCATTGTGGAACAGTCAATTGAATGGAACTCACCACTCTACATCAACTTCATCGACTACGAGAAAGCATTTGATAGTGTGGATAGGAAAACACTGTGGAGGATTCTTCGACACTACGGTGTGCCTGAGAAAATAGTCAACATCATACGGAATTCTTATGATGGATTCAACTGCGAAATCGTACACGATGGACAGCTAACAGACTCTTTCGAGGTGAAGACCGGTGTGAGGCAAGGTTGCTTACTCTCACCCTTGCTCTTTCTCCTGGTGATCGACTGGATTATGAAGACGTCGACATCTGAAGGGAAGCAGGGTATCAACTGGACAGTTAGGACGCAGCTGGACGATCTGGACTTCGCAGATGACCTGGCTCTTCTATCGCACACTCAGCAACAAACGCAAGAGAAGACGACCAGTGTAGCAGCAGCCTGTGCACCAGTTGGTCTCAAAATACTAAAAAGAAAAAGCGATATTCTCTGATGCAACACAACATGCACCAACCGAATCACTCTTGATGGAGATACCTTGGAGGACGTTAACACCTTTACATATCTTGGCAGCATCATCGGCGAGAAAAGTGGATCCGATGCAGATGTGGCGGCGCGGATTGGCAAAGCAAGAGCTGAATTTCTACAGCTGAGAAATATCTGGAACTTCAAACAACTTTCAGAAAAAATCAAAATCAAGATTTTCAATACAAATGTCAAGACAGTTCTACTGTATGGAGCGGAAACTTGGAGAACTACCAAAGCCATCATCCACAAGATACAAGTATTTATTAACAGTTGTCTACGCAAAATACTTCGGATTCGTTGGCCAGACACGATCAGCAACAACGAACTGTGGGAGAGAACAAACCAGATTGCAGTGGAGGAGGAAATCAGGAAGAAGCGGTGGAAGTGGATAGGACACACACTGTGAAAAGCACCTAACTGCGTCACGAGACAAGCCCTCGCCTTGAACCCTCAAAGTCAAAGGAAAAGAGGAAGGCCAAGGAACACATTACGCAGAGAAAAAGAGAATGAATTAACGAAAACTGGAAAGAACTGGGGAGGGTAGACCAGGACAGAGTTGGTTGGAGAAAACTGGTGTGCGGCCTATGCTCCATTGTGTGTAAGAGGGGTAAGTAATGAATAATGTGTTTTCGTTACATAGTGATTGGTCCAATTCATCTCGTTCACATAATATTAGTTCTAAGATCACTGAATACTACGGTGTGGTTTCACCCTTCCTGTTTCTTTAATTGTTTCCCTTTTATCGGTTTGCCTAAAAACAAGTCTGATAGTTATAATAGTAAGTTAGATTCCACTTACGACCAGTTATTATTATATGTTAACAACCGCATATTAGCAACTACAATAGACGATCACTTGATATATTCTGCGATGAATATAAACATAATTCGTATCATATGAAATGTTTACGTTAATTCATCCGTTTCAATTGGTCATTGATTAAGCCTAACTAATTGTATTTGTCCAACTTTTTAGAATAAAACGAGAAATTTCAGTGTAATTATTATGTACTGTAGATTGCCTGTGTATTCAAAGCACTGCATTTTTAGTAATGTCTGTAATTTGCCTCTTTAATGTTTATATGTTTAGTTTGTGATCGTAATTTTAAAGTCAGTATCAAATAAAAGTTTTTAAATTCTACAGTTTATTGGAAGTTACTTTTGTTTTGTCACAAAATCCTGGGATGATACAGGTAAATGTACGAAAAACCAGCAGTTAATAATCTGTCTACTGGTTGACACCTTTTGAAAAAATCTTGACAGGGCTTCTAAACATTTCATACGTACAATATATATACCGATAACTGCTTGGACAACAATGTGTCACTAACTTCACATAAAGATAAGGCTGTAGTTTATTTACTTGGGATAACCGAGTAAGCAATGCTGTTGTTAGGAAGCGGGTGCTAGGTAAGGGGGCATATCAAGAGACGAAGTACTGAAACTTCATCGATTGAGGTAGTTGGAATATGTGTTACGTATGCCTAACCACCGACTGCTTCGTCGATGTAGGAATAGGTTGCAAGAAAGCTGGGAGCTGCCAGACCAAAACATGGCAGAAATTCATAAAGTGCACTAAGTCATGTCGGTATGTGTCGTCTACCTGGTTGTGGTCCGCGAGATGATAGTAATCGATGGTTAGAGACCTTGAATGACATAGCGCAGGTGCATTCATTTTTTGTGTTCTCCTCAAATCCTAACCTTCATAATTACTCATCACTTTATCCTTTTAAGTTTATTTCACTAGATTCTACTCCTTAAATAATAACTTCGAACCGTAATCTCTCCGATTACTGCCAATACCTTAACCGCATCTACTTCTATGGGATTTGAAGTGACAATTGCATCTCTATACTAATGTATTACGGCAACTTGAACTGATGTACACACGTACGTATGAAGTTCTTTGTTGCTGCTGATTGATTGATAGTTTATTGTTCTAAAGAGAAAAAAATCTCTGAAGGTCACATCAAGGAAAGTAGTAATAAACATTAACTTGCATATTATATTCATAAGAAATTAACTTACATTTCATATTTCGTGTATTCCCATGATTCGATATTGAATCACTATAACCATCCGTGCTTAATTCATGTACATCATGAATAAATGTAACCAAGCGTAATTTATCTTCACCATTTTGTAATTGTAAATTCCATTGTCTTTCACCAAAATTATTTATATTATTATTAGTAGTATTATTAGTAGTATTGTGATGATTAGTTCGATTGTCATTATGCATAGGATTATTATTATTATTATTATTATTATTATTATTATTCTGTACTTCTTCCATGGAACTTTGATGATCTGGCCATCTTTGTCTAGCTTCATTCATTTGTTGCATAAAATGCATTTCTTGTTTATGACGTAAATTCTCTTTACGATCATAATAGAATATTAATGATTGTAAATAAGCCAATGCCAAAATTGATAAACAATATTGAAAAATTAAAAAATTCTTTGATTTCAATGTTCAAGTCCATCGAAAAATGGATGGAGAGTTGACAGAGAGAGAGTTGGAAAGAACAAACAAAAACAAAAGGCCTTATTAAAGCGCTTGTTTTAATGAATTATTATTATTATTATTTTAAAAGTGAATAGGTTTGAAAAAAATGAAATCAAATTGTCGCATTTCTATCATATGAATTGTTCATCACCATCTCATAGTTTGTATGATATTCATTTGAAATTTCTAAGATTACTGATTATTATTATTATGAATCGATCAATGTTAGAGTACCACCAATAGAAACCTGGAAGCACTGCAGGACGGCCGTTTCGTCCTGGTATGGGACTCATCAGTGGCAGTGCGCATCCACGACTCCTACACCCCGCAGGATTCGAACCAAGGACCTTCGGTATTGCATGATCGATTCATGCTTTCAAAAACGTGTATCTTAACAATCTTTACAACCCCGTAATGCAAATTACCTGTGCTCACTAGTGATTAGCTTCCTGAGGAATCTTCTCCGAGTTCTAGTGGGAAGTTGTGTGACCAGTGATGTTCAGCCTGTTCGGGTGTAGGCAGTGTCTACCAAAGACTGTGTATGAGGTTGCGCAACTCCGTGAATTCGATCAAGTTAGACATTAACACCGTTAGATACCGGCTCAGTGGTCTAACGGTTGGGGCGTTCGCGCACGATACCGAAGGTCTTGAGTTCGAATCCTGTGCGGTGCAGGAGTAATGGATGCGTACTGCTGATGAGTCCCATACCAGGACGAAACGTCCGTCTTTCAGTGCTTATAGGTTTCTAATGGTGGTCTAACATTGATCGATTCATGGTTTCAAAAAAATGTGCAACTTAACAATCTTCACAACCCCGTAATGCATATTATTTTGAAACCATGAATCGATCAATGGTAGAACAGTATTAGAAATCTGAAAGCACGAGACGGTCGTTTCGTCCCTGGTATTGGACTCATCAGTGACAGTGCGCATTCACAACTTCTGGTCCTGGAATGATTCAAACCCAAGATCTTCGGTCTTGCTCGCGAACGCCTCACGTCTGGAACACTGGAACGGTATCTAACGGCGTCTAATGTCTAACTTCAATCAATTCACAGAGTTGAGCAACTCCATACACTGTCTTCTTTAGTTATTATCTACACCCGAACAGGTTGAACTTCACCGGTCACGTCTTATAGTACACTTTCATTACAAAAACTTGTTTGTTCACAGAATCGATGAGATTATAATAATAATCGGCGTGGTTTCCATCAGACGGCCTATCACATTTAATGAAAGCTTACATTCGTTCTGATAGGAGTATTTATGGTGAATTTTCTACAAGTCTTCATCAATGTTTATCTGATTGATAATGTAAACTCTTTGTGATTCACAAATTGAAAAGTCTTTGGACAGTAGTAATCTAAGGTAGACTAGGACCATGTTAGACCTTGTGATAATCACTAACCTCTAGAACCTTTTCAACGAAAACTAGGTTTTTTTTAATCGAACGTATCAATTCTCTACTTACATTGTTTATAAATTTGCTATTTTGTTGAAGGCATTTAATACCTGAGAGGATGTTGTGAGTAAATCAGTTGTTTTCCTAGTTAGACGGCCACTATAACCTTTTACTGACCAGCGATCTGACCTCAATCTGATCGTATGGTATTGTTAACGAAATTTATATTCTCCTTACCCTCGATTACAATTATCTATTGAATTTGCGTTAGTTAATAACGAAACGAAGAAAGTCAAATACGATAATGGTTTTCGAATAAATATATATTTCATATACTCGTTACCTCAAACGTACAAAATAGGGAGCCGATAATCGACACAAAGTGACAATTCAAGGTCAAACGAGCTATGTGATGAACATAGTAATTGATAAACACATATGGTCATATATAATCAATGCTATAAGCGGATAATTCACATGGTCAAAATATGTTTCAGCAAGGACTCAGAAAGAATAAATTCATTTAACTATTTAAAAGCCAGAATAATAAATGGAGTAGTATTGAATTGTTAAGTTTGTCACTAGGTATGCTTGAAGCTATTATAAGTTCACCTTAGTCGATAAACGTGAAAGAGACAATTACCAGCGTCCAGGTAGGCTACTTTGATCCCAAACTATAAAACATAAGTCTTGGTAAGCGTAGAAAGTATATTCTACAACACCCAGCAATCACAATACAATCAAGCACACAACCCTCGTTTACTTATCATCCCACTCCAGCTCTGCCCAAAAGTCAAAAATGAATCCCCCTGCTGTTTACTGGCACTGCGGCTCATGGCACTATGCACGGAACTGCCCATTTAGGCAGCATAGATGCAGGAAGTGTAAGGTCATCGGGCATAAAGACGGTTTTTGCCTGAAGAAAAAGCCGAACTGATCCAGAAGCGCTAAGAAGTCTGTTCCTAGATCCGATACCAATGCATTGAGCCTAATATCTTCCTGCCAAAGCTCATCGCCAGGTGAGAGGATATTCATTACTCTTAATGTTAACGGGCATTTATGTACAATCAAGCACACAACTCTTGTTTATTTATACATCATAGAAACGTCCTTGGGACAGTCACCAAAAAATGGCACACTAAAATACACAGCAGCCAATCGCAGCCATAGAGTTTCCTGGTGGGAAATGAAATCTCAAGGTCAACTGATCAGCTGATTCTCGCAAACGTGAAATTTAAAATAAGGCATTTATCAAGCGAGTTCTGGGGATCTGATATTCTCACCAGAAGTAGTGTATGGTGTATGTAATTCTTTGAGCAAAAGTCTTAATTATTATATTCATGTATAAAAACAACTCATCGAGATTAACATTTTAGTTCATCCAGCTGTTTCTGATCACAAATCAATCGTCACTTAAAACTCTGGTACATTGAGTTGATTTTACATTTCACTGTTGAACACCTTGCGAATAGACAAAAAGTATCTCAAAACTCTTACATTTCACCTCTAACAAGATTTTTCTCAGTCGTAAACCTAAGGTTCACATGATAAGTATCAGTCAGTTCATGATACAGTGGCTACATCATTAAAAATCAACACTTTCCAATAGGATTAGTAATGACGTTTCTCCTAAGAAACTAAGAATCATTTGTTCAATACATACTTCAAACTAGTTATATGGTTAACAATCAATATTTTGCGGTGCCTAGTAGTGCCTAATCTCAAAGACTATAATTTTAGAGCTAAAAACACTTCTTAAAAACCCAATATCAAAAATCTTTTTCACGAGCTAGTGTAAACCAATTTGATTTCTTCGCGCTCGAATCTTGTTCTTTCGGTACGGTTCCAGGTGTTCGGTAATGTCCAATGGATGGAGGTCTAGCCACTCGACTGTCTAATTCTAGTCAGTTGGCAGTTGGTTGTGAGTTTGTATGTCTCGGGATTTGAATGAAAACGTTTGTTTCAGGGCAGTAGGGTTTCTGGATACTAGCAGCCGTCACATTACCGAACCGGAGATCAGTTAGTTGCAATGTGGAGAGTAATAAGGGTAATAAGGATAAAATTCTAATGATAATATGAATAAAATTTCAGAACTGAGTAATATATAGATGAATTTAGTTTGTTAATTGGTAGTGAAGATTGTGAGAGAGGACCGAAGTGTAAGCAATGGAGAGGAAACAGAGATAATGGGCAAGATAGATTAATTGAGTGATCTGAGGAGATGGCAGGTCTCAAGATATGCATCATGAACAGCTTATCCAAGAGGGAGATGATAGTCCGTATGTGAGTACGTGATCATCAAGTCTCTTCTTAAAGCAGTCCACTGAGTGGGCTGTGGTCACCTCGGCTGGGAGAGCATTCCAAGTTGCAACCACTTGCAATGAGAAAAAGTGTGCACGAATCTGAGTGTTTGCTCTTTGATGTTCAATCTTTTGAGAATTGCCTCGAGGGGAGTGGTGGTAATGCATCAGTAAGATGCTCACATTGGGATGGTTTGGCGTGTTTAATATGGTGTACGCCATAATCAGATCGCCTCTGATTCTCCTGTAGCTCAGTGGAAATAATCCCAATAGCTGGAGTCTATCGCCCTAGGGTTTAGTTTTCAACCCTATCACCCATTTGGTTGCTCGTCTCTGCACTCGGTCCAAGAGATTAATGTCTCTTTTAAGCAGAGGGGGTGCGATGACGTTGTGAACCTCCATGTGTGGGCGCGCATACGTCTTAAACAAGGTTAGATATAATTTTGTTGTGATGGCACCAAGCTGTCTTCGCATAAAGTGAAGAGTCGCATTTGCCTTGGCTGCATCATCTACGTAGTTCGGACTCGTGTGGATGCTTTCTGTGGTTATTAATCCAAGACCGCGCTCTGAGGAGACATTAGGCAGCGGACTTTCATTGAGAGTGTAGGTGGTTTACGTCATGCGAGGCAGGAAATGCATGACGTAGCACTTCGGTTGGTTGAGTTTTAAACCGTTTTCACTGCCTATTTCTCAACAGATGTAAGGTCCTTTTGAAGCTCAGTCAAAACCTCTTCTTAACACTAATAATTATGCATAATGATACTTTGCCAGGTTTCACAGAAAAATTCAATTGATTCTTGTTTACTATATCAGTCAGGTTGAATATTTTGTCGATTCAATGAAAAGAGCTACTTCATATGTACAAATGAGATGAAGAACATAAGAAACGGAGCAGAGGTTACTAATGAATTACACCTTATCCATTAATCCATTGAAAATGAATGGAGTGTCATCATCTGCAGAAAGTAAATTTCGATGGAATAAATAAAGTTACTCAAGACAATTTCAGAACAGAACAGAAATAAATGAAAACAAATAAATGTAGAGCATTAGTAAACACTGAAATAAGAATACAACTTCCAACCTCATATGACGCAAACGACCTACACTCTCAATGGAAGTCCGCTCCCTAATGTCTCCTCAGAGCGCGATCTTGGTTTCATAACCACAGAAAGCAGCCACACCAGTCCAAACACAGCCAAGGCAAATCCGACTCTTCTCTTTATGCGAAGACAGCTTGGTGCTAGCAC